TTCTCTAGGATATTTCTCAACACTAGAACATTTCTTTAGGATATTTCTCAAGGCAAGGACATTTCCCAAGACTAGGTCAATTCTCTAGGGTATTTCTCAAGACTAAGTCATTTCTCAAGTGCCATCAATTTCTGAGTGCAGGTGAAGAATGACAAGTAAATTAATTGCTTAAATGATATGTAGGTAAAGTAAGTAAAGACATTAGTAAACATTTCTGATGTACCAGCACTAGCAGACTTAGTGAGCTCTGAAGACCCTCTCAAACTCTGGGGGTCCCGAGGTGCTGGGCGGTGAGACTAAATACTTGCGTCTGGCGTAGATCACCTGGAGTGAGAAGTAAACTGCGCGTTAATCTGCAGGTAGCCATTCCAACAATGTAAACGCTGCATAAAGCTATAAACGTATAGTGAACAACTTACCTTGCTCTAACACACCCAACACCGTTACTCCTGCAATGAGCACTACCTGATCCAGCATGTCTACTGCCCTTCCAACCTGGTGTTCAGATGCTAACTGTTTCCCTGACTGAGTGAACAGATAGGTGTCAACTCAGGGCGAGAGGCTGCGACTTCCTGATCTTAGAGTGGCCTGGATCATGTGGGTAATTTATTATCCAATGGAATGTGTCATCAGGGGTTTGATCATTAGTCCAACCAGTTCCTTCCATTTTGCAACTAAAACGAGAGTTTGTATTGGATAAATGTAGGTATGTCCCTCCCCGGTTCGTTATGCTTCTTCCGCTTAAGAATAATCGGCACAATGATTACACCCCTGCTAGCCCAGTGCAATGGTCAAGGAGCAGACTTTCATGTCTGTCTACGTATGTCCAGTGGCGGCTCCTGAAAAAATTCTCAGGAGGGGCAATTTTTCTGATGATTTAGGTGACCTACACACATTTTAAAAAAGATATGTCCAGCAACAACATGAAGACAGGGGCAGCATATAAGTCAATACCAGAAGCATTTATTGACTGATCTGGGGAGATGGATTCCAGTTTCTGTGACAGATTATAAATAATCTCTGATGCCTTTGTTATATTAGCTTTTGGTTGAATGTACTGTCGTAGTAAATATATAATGTTATAGCTTGGTCTGACTAAAATCTTATGCATGACCCATTTTGTGTTGGGCGTTTGTTTTCAATCAATGCTGTTCCTATCCTATAACAATGGACAAAAGAGTCCTATCTTGTCAGCCTTGTCAGCAGGTGGCCAAGGACAACACCCACACCATAGGTCTCTCAGTTCTTCCAACTCACGAGTTCTTGCTCTGAGGACACACACACACACACACACACACACACACACACATCATCACTGTTAAACACACACACACACACACACAAAAATCCCCTCTCTTTAGGCTGAACATTTGAAGACAGAGAACCCGACTCAGAGCCAATGCAACAGTGGAGGGGACCTCGCCCAACTCATCAGGACCAATCAGAAGATCAGAACTACTAGATTCAACCTACATCATTTATTGTATAAAATGTCTGCACACAATGTTTTCGGGGCTCTCTTCAGATAGCTCCCTAAGAGTTTGACGAACGAGTCCGTGCACGCGATTCCAGATATCTTTACCTCTGAATAAACTGCCTTTATTATACCATATCCACCCTGTCCAAAGTCTCTACTTGGTCTCAGTTCTCCAGTAAACTTGTGATTATCAACAGTACACAACGGTAACAAACAATTGGGGGAACTCACGGGGCAGATAGTAAGGTCGCAGTGACACAGAAAGCAGTTCAATGTCGGGGGTACAGAGTCGCTCTCTTACCAGGATCGATTTTCCCTGTGACTGTCAGATCGCGGTCCGCTCTGACCAGGGTGAAGCCGGCCGGCTCCACTTCTCTGTCCGGGACTCTGTCATCCAGCCAAGTCTCCCAGCTGTATTGGATTCCGCTGCCAGCAGCGTTTTCATTATTTAGTCCGTTCGTAGCGGGTATGTACACGATCAACAAGATCAGTCCAAAACCCACCACTGGAAATCCATGGTTGGCAGAATGTTTGTAAACTAAGTGTACAAATTAAAAACATAAAATAACGCCACTAAGTGTACAAATTAAAAACATAAGATAACGCCACACTGCAGGTCGCAACAGAGATGCTGCTAGCCGCTATTTTCTTAGTTACGTTCATGGTTACGTCACGTATGACGAAAGCGCGTAAGTGCAAGCCCACAGACACCCATAGAGATTGTATTGAAAGCTTTGAAATTTGAAAAAAATAGATTTTACATGGGAGTCTATGACAGACTTCTGGGCGATTTTCAACATGACTGAAATCGCCCCAAAAACGGGCGGGGCCATTTGAAGCACGACTTTAGCCTGATTTGACATTTAGTGGCAGTCAGATCAGATTAGAACACTGATAACTACTGTTGCCGTGATATAATTGATTAGAAAAAAAATCCCTTCCTTTTCCCGTTTGGCAGTGCGTCGCCCATATCGCCCTATTGAACACACCGCCCCTGCGTATGTCTATCAATGCTATATCAGCATAGATGCTATATACTCCCCTACGCATTTATTTGGACAGTGAAGGAAACACTTAATTTAGCTCTATACTCCAGAATTTGAGATCAAATGTTTAATATGAGGCGACAGTAAAGAATGTCACCTTTTATTTGAGCATATTTTCATACACGTTTTACCGTTTAAGAAATGAAAGCATTATGCATCTAGTCCCCCCATTTGAAGGTGTCATAGTTATTTGGACAAATTCACAGTGTATTACATTTAGTCAATAGTTTACTATTTGGTCCTATATTCCTACCACACAGACTAGATCAAGCTTGTGACTACAAACTTGTTGGGTGCATTGTCACTTTTATTGTAAATAAGGATAGAGTATGTTTCTGAACACTTCTACATGAATGTGGATGCTACCATGATTACAGATAATCATGAATAAATAATGAATAATGATGAGTGATTAAGTTAAGAGGGTAATGGTGAGAGGTTAGCATGCCTTGGGGGTATGATATTTGTGTGTCTAACTTTCTCACTCGTCATTATTCAGGATTCATTCAGGATTATCCGTAATCATGGTAGCAGCCACATTAATGTAGAAGTGTTCTGAAACAAATACGTAGTGTATCAGGGTTGGGCAACTCCAGTCCTCTGGGTCCTGATTAGTGTCAGTGACACGTTTTCCCCAGCACATCTGATTAAACTTCAAGTTAATAAACGTATTACATTCTAAACTGGAGACCATGAATAGTAGATTTTGAGTCCAGTGTGTGTCAGCTAGGGTTGGGGCAAAAGTGTGTCAGGCTCATCAGTCAGGCCCCCGAAGACTGGAGCTGGCCATTCCTGTGATATATGATGCAAAAAGAATTACAAGAAAGGACAAGAAAACAGATGGAAGAAAGTAAATCATTATCATCATCATGATTAAGTGGAATGGGAAACATAGGAATTCAATGTTCTACAGGATTATACTCATACCTTACATTAGCACTTAATATTAATACTTTAATGTTGCCAGTTATAATTCACGCACACGCACACACAAAAACTAAGACAAAACACAGGGTCCGTTTCTAAATAACTATATTTACATAATACTCTTGTTTTACAGAGAAGCATATTAAAAGTATAAAATACTTACAAAAATCCACTGCAATATACATATAAAAATAAGATCCATCTTCAGAACAATAGGAAAAAGCATACATACAAAATAATATAGAAAAATGTACAAGGAGCCTGACACAAAAGAGGATGAACAAATTCAAATATTTACAAGAGTCTGGCTGTACTGTCGTTCAAGGGTATGGTAAAAAGATTGTCTGCAATGTGTCTGAAGGCAAAAGTAAAATGTGTCTTAATGCAATGATTTCCACTATCCATACATTATCTTATAGCTTGGTTATTGAAATGACAGTGGACTGAATGTTTAATAAAGACAGTGATTTTCGTGTGTAACCTGGTCAAACATGGTAAGGAACCTAAAGGGAGACCATTTTAGAAACCTGATACAAGCACAATTGAAAAGTGTAATTGCGTGATATTGGGACTAGGTCCCCATTTGTCACCTGCCTCCATGGGGGGGGGGGATCATTGCACAACTAACAGAGGAACAGTCTTGTCTCTTATAAAATATGGGTCCACACTTACCAACTAATGGGCACTGGCTAACCAAATGAATATGGCCGCCACAGTTGAGTCTCCTTAGCTCACCTTGTCGTTGGTTTGAGAGTAGCGGAGAGATGGCAGACGTCTATTTATGAGCAATAACTAGTGTATCACCACCAACTTTTTACATAGGGGGGAATGTGTTAATAGGTCACCTCTGCTACATACAGCATTCATTTGCACTTAAGGCCGCAACTTCTAACAAACAGAGGACGGGTAGGGGGGCAATGAAACCAAACTATGCACCTCTACTGTGGTGGTGCTTGTTTGGTAAGCGTAGGCAAAGTTTGTGTGTGTGTGTGTGTGTTTGTGTGTGCAGCGTTTGATTCACCCTTGATTCAGTGGTTTAGTACTGAGTCACAGGTTCAGTAGTAGTAATAGTAGTAAAGTTCTCTGTATACGTCTCCCAGTCTTGGGGAAATACTCCAATAGGAATCAACAGAGGGGTTTTGGTCCTGCACACCATCATTCCCATCCAATCATTCTCCTAAACTTATATACACAGTACACACAATACTGAGGATGACGGTCTCTTAGCCGTGTCAGAACAGTAACAGGATTCCATTAGTAACCCTCGCTGTTCCTGCATTTCAATGGCAATTGGTTTGGAACACATACACCAACATTCCCTCTCACCAACTCAACGGATGCATCTCACTTGCCTGAAGGCTTCCTCTCCCCATCTCCTCTCCCCATCTCCTCTCAGTCTTAATCTACTGATTTGAAAAGGCAAGGTGAACACAACATGGAAGATGAATGCCTAGCAGACACTTGCTCTCACCCATCCAGCTCTAACATTGGCGCAGATGGAAAAGAGGAATCCACTAGACTATTGAGACTCACCCGTTAATTAAAACTCATCAGTGGTGGCTAGCTAAGAGCTCATCCAGATCGTCCATCCACTCCTGCGTGCTCTGTCCTTTCAGCAGAGAGTCCACCAGGTCACTCTCCCCAGGGAAGCTGGGCAGACTGCTAGCCCCTGACCCAGTGTTGTAGCCAAACGGCAACTGCTGTTGTTGGTTAGCAGTTCTGTTGACCTGGTAGCCCTGCTGGCTGCACTGGAGCCCTTGGCTGACCGAATGCCCCCCCTGCGGCTGACCGAAGGCCCCCAGGTCCGGTAACACCCCCTGGCCTTGGGAACCCTGCTGTTGCTGATTGGGTAAGACTTGACCTGGGCCTAATGGCTGCCCAAGGGAAACTTGGGGGTTGGCTGCAGTCCTTTGCTGGGCCTGCTGCATCATCTGTTGCTGGGCGGGGTTCATGGCGCCCATGGGCCTGCTGTTGGCATTGGCGCCGAAGGGGGTGTTACCGACAGGCATTTTGTTTGGCATGTGGGTCTGCTGCTGCATGTGGAAGGTGTTGGTGTTGGCAAAGGCATTGGGCGGGAGACCTCCGTTGCTGGAGGGAGACTGTTGGGCACCCATAGCTTGCTGCATGCCCTGCTGCTGCCAGGCTTGGCTCTGGGTGCTCTGCATGGCGTTGGGCATAACACTGGGCATGTTGCCGCCGGGCATGGAGCTGGGTAGTCTGGCTAACTGCTGCTGCTGTTGTTGTTGTTGTTTTAGCAGGGCAGCGTTGGGCTGGTTTTTAAGGTGTTGCTGCTGGGATAGCATGTTCTGTCGGTAGGGGGCGCCCATATTGCCTACAGGCTGCCTCTGCATGGAACTTTGCTGGGAGGGGTGTGAGGGGTGCATGTTCATGTTGCTATAGAGTACCTGATGCTGTAAGGCAGAATCCATAACGCCCCCACAGGAGGAGAGGCTCATGTCTGTTTGGCTGGAGGCAGGGGGGGCGCCAGGGGTGGGGCCAACACCACCCTGTTGGCCCATGGTCATGCCCATCATGGCTTGTTGCGTCTGGGGGAACATTCGCTGAGCTCCGGGGGCAGGGCCTCCCAGCGAGCCCACGTTGCTCAATGGCTGTGACGAGCCTGCAGGAAGAAGCAACAGAAGAAGCGAGTCACAAAAACATGACAACTGAAAAGCTAACCTTTGAATTATAAAAACATGTGTAATCCTTATGCAATCTTAATCAATAAACACATTACAGGAGAAGACCAAGTCTCTCTCAATATACTTAAATGGCTTTCCATGTCTCCATATCTGTGTCATTATTCTTTCATGAAAGCAGATAGCAGAAAGGAATTGACATGGTCTAGCTACCACAATAATTTCATGCCATTATGAAGTAAAAAGGACAGCAACCATTGAGACAGCAGCCGTTCTCTCCAAAGACACAGAACAAAGGGCAAATGTATTCAGCAACGAGAGAACACAGACCTCATTTCTGGTTTACCATTCAAATGAATCATACGGTAAGCAACATTTGCATTGATGAAGGTAATATTAGTTTACTGCCAAACAAAGTTGTTCTGTGTGAGTCGCATCATTCGAGCAAACCTTCTGGCCCACGACCAGACATTTTCAAAAAGGTGCATATTCAATAGCAATGGGAAATGCAAGCAGTGGTAGAGAGTTTAGCTGTGGTTCCAAAATCGCCCTCTTACCCCTAACCTATATAGACCTGGTTTTTACATAGGTCATGGTCGATTTGTTTCGGGCTGTGGCAAGCGACTGGGTTGTGCCTGTTTATTCAGCTGGGTTGAAGGAAACTTCCGAAACTTTTTGGGTCATCAAAAAACAAAATTTGCTGCCCTAGTGTAATGAATTAAAACAATATGGCTAAACATGGAGGAAACTACATCCTGTCAATTCAATGATCTGAAATCCATAAAGGGTAGTGAACGGCTGTACACTTCAGCCAGAACTCAGGTGGAGGATTGGATTAGAGCCCTACATACCCTTTTAAGACCATGGAGGAGTGTCTGGGGGGGGGGGGGGGGGGGGGGGGGGGTTATGCTACACTGGAGGTAACGTGGTGACATAGGGTCTTATTTACCTGTAAACTGGGTGACCTGCTGCTGCTGGAAGGGGTTGTTCTGTGCCCCAGGTTGCTGGTTCTGTTGGTCATGATACTGGGGAGGGGGACGGGTCAGGTGCCTCTGGAGCTGCTGCTCTTGCTGCTGACGCCGTTTCTCCTGAAACACAGAAAACATACATATTAGAGCATGCATGTGTCATACATGCATATACCGGTGACTGCTATTCCTCCCCATACATACTCTTGGACAAGGATCAGAGATGGAAAGCGCCTACTGTGAAACTGCCAGTCATATAACCACTTCTACATGCAGACAAATGGCTCCCCTTGTGTATATGTTACTAATAGACAACATGTAGAACACTGCTGACCCAGCACTAGCAGGCCCAGTCGGGTAGAACAGACAGAGATCCTGTCTTTACATAGTAATAGGGCAAGTTGAAACCAATCATGTGAATGAGCCACGAAGCCTGTTCTCTTTGTATTTTGTGGTTATGATTGAGGGTGGGGTAAGCTGCTCCTAGACCCTGATCCAAGACCCAAATTCTACCTACAATACCGAAGAACCAGCAGTACATGACCCTTGACCCCGGGTATTGACCTGTTGGGCCATGATCAGCTGCTGCCTCTGGCCCAGTAGGAACTGTTTCTGCTGCTCCATCAGCTGCTGCTGCTTCAGCGCCGCCGCCACCTGCCCCGACAGGTAGGCTGCGTTGCCGTGGTTACCCGCCATTCCGTTGCCGGGCCCCCCCGGCTGGGTGGCCATGGCGTTGCCAGGTCCAGGGCCCTGCGGTGCGGCAGGGTACGAGTTCTGCTCCTGCAAAATTTAAATTGGGGAAAATTGTCTGGTTATTCCACTAATGTCAACCAGAGGGACAGGGAGTGAGACTGCGTTGAGTCTGAGGTAAGGCTTTAGGGCCTAGTCAAAAAAGTGGAGGGAATTTGTTCAGAAATAACATGGGGAAAATTGGTCCTTTGCTTTGGGTACCTACGGTTTGATGTAAAGCAAAGGAAAAAGCACTCAAATCAAAGCTCAAGCTTTACCTAAAAAACTAGAAAAGTTATGTCCCTAATCAACACAGCTTTAAATGAATAATGTGGTTGTACAACTTCAGTTTGAAAGTTCATCACTTTGTGAGAATCACAGCGCTAACCATCTCTCCATAGAAACATCTGGAAAGTTGGCCAGAGTTATCAGGGGCTAGCCTCAGGCCTCTAGCTCCGGCCGGGGGATATTTTGGGTCCGTCCACACACATCACGCCGCAGAACACAGTTGAGTCAGGGAGAGGGGGAGAGAGGGCATGAAGAGCAAGAAGGGAAGAGAGAGTCCCTTCTCGCGAGAGGAAAAAACCCAAGTGGGCTAAGAGAGAGTAAGGGGGGGGGGGGGGCTACTCCTAAAATACACTGGTGTGGAGGACAGGCGAGGTAGAGAGGGATGCATGAAAGGCTGCTTTGTTGTGGCTGTCCCCTCCCTGGTTCCCCCCACCACCACCCAACCCCCCATGGGAGACTGCATGCCAGCTCCTTAGCAACCAGCTGCTTGACCCAGACACACACACTGTCCCCTCGAACCGTGGGGCCCATGCCAGACTTGTAGGAACAAAATATAAACTAAATGACAGTGTGTGGGTTGTGTTTGTTGACTAACATAAAAAGCCTGCTAGTCCTTAGATTCACCATCAACTATCAGCCTACATGCAGTATGCTTTAAAGGCCCAGTGCAGTCAAAAACGTGATTTTCCTGTGTCTTATATACATATCCACACTAGGAGGTTGGAATAATACTGTGAGCTGTTTGAAAAGACCACATTACATTTCAGCCTGTTTTGGTGGGATGGAGTTTTGGCCTGCCTGGTGACATCACCAGGCGGTAAATGTGTTAATAGACCAATAAGAAAGAGAGTTCCAAACTGCTACGCCAATAACAGCTAATTTTCAAATTTCCCCTCCCTACTACTCCCAGACAGTCCTAGAAGTCCTTGCTTGAGAAATGGCTCTTTGCTAAGAAGCTATTTTTGTTTCTTTTTGACCATTGTATTAACAGTAATGTACTTAATTGTTGCCCAGAAATGATATGTTAAAATTATATGTCAAAATGATACTCTGTCATACACCAGCGTCGTAGAACTGGGGGAGTATGTGTGTGTTTGTACACAACATGGCCTTGGAATGTTCTTTGTGCCCCAGTTGTAATGCTATTTGCTGATGTCAGTATAAAACATGCTTTGGGTCTTTCCCCTGTTGGAAATGTTGATAGCTCCTATTCTCCCAGTCAAGCAGTGTGAAATTATGTTAGGCTTGGGTGATGATCCTAACCAAGTCATGTAAGTGTAAGCCCTTCATATACACTTGTTGACCTCAAATTTTTAACGGTTATTCAGAATGCCAATATAGCCTAACACTGGTATTCCCAGGTGGTCTCCTGTCCCAGTACTAACCAGGCCTGACTCTGAACAGGTGGTCTCCTGTCCCAGTACTAACCAGGCCTGACTCTGAACAGGTGGACTCCTGTCCCAGTACTAACCAGGCCTGACTCTGAAAAGGTGGTCTCCTGTCCCAGTACTAACCAGGCCTGACTCTGAACAGGTGGTCTCCTGTCCCAGTACTAACCAGGCCTGACTCTGAACAGGTGGTCTCCTGTCCCAGTACTAACCAGGCCTGACTCTGAACAGGTGGTCTCCTGTCCAGGTACTAACCAGGCCTGACTCTGAACAGGTGGTCTCCTGTCCAGGTACTAACCAGGCCTGACTCTGAACAGGCGTGTTCAGAGTGGTATTACACAAGCATATTTTTTTAGCCCTGTTTTCTTCCCAAATTTGGTCCCTTGGCTCATCTCTGCAACTCCTCAATGGGCTCGAGAGAGGCGAAGGTCGAGTCATGCGTCCTCCGAAACATGACCCACCTGGCCGACTACTTCTTATCACACTGCTTGCTTAGCCCAGATGTCAGCCGCACCAATGTGTCAGAGAAAACACAGCTCGACTGACGATCGGAGTCAGCTTGCAGGTGCCCGGCCCTGTCACAAGGAGTCACTAGAGCACGATGAGCCAAGGAAAGCACCACCGGCCAAACCCACCCCTTCACTGGACGGCCTATGGGGCTCCCGGACACGGCCTGTTGTGACATCGAACCTGTAGTGCTGCGCCACCCAGGACCCCGATCCTTGACTCTTATAACAAAGCCTTTTTAAGCCTACTTCATGATATCAAACCTGGTCACATAAAAGTACTGGTTACACAATGAGCAGTCTTGTGATAACATTCAGGATGAGCTGTAGTCTTACCTGGCCGTGGGGTAGCTGTGGTCTGAAGGGCAGGCCTTGTTTCTGTTTCAACTGCTGCTGCTGTCTGAGGAGCGATAGCAGCGCTGCCTTGTTCTGGCTCTGGGCACTGGGGGGGCCCTGCGGTGGCCCCTGGGCCGCAGCCTCATAGTGGGACAGGGGCTTGGTGTTGCTGTAGTTGAGCATGGCAGAGCCCAGGCCCCCGGGGCCTGCTGCTGCAGGGTGGCTGAGCGGGGCCCCTGTTCCTTGGGCAGGGTGGCCCAGCATGTTGGTGTGGGGGCCTCCGGGCTGCAGGTACCCGCCGGCCACGGCTTTGGGTGAGCCCTTGTTGGGCTGTCCGGGCATCATCAGCTGGGGCTTGGGGTTATTGGGGAAGTCATGGGGGTAGCGGGAGGGGCTGGTGGGCTTTTCCAGGCCGAAGGCGCCCCCTAGGGGGCTCTGAGATGGGGCCGACTGGGGTGGCCAAGATGGACGGCAGGGGTGGGACCCAGGGGGGTGGAATTTGGGGGCTTGCTGCTGTTGTTGCTGTTGTTTTTGGGCTTGCTGCTGTTTCTGAGCGTGTTGCTGCTGTTGGAGCTGGGACTGCATCTGCTGGGCTCTCTGCTGCTGGGCGGCTAGCTGCTGGAGCTGCTGGGCAGGGGACAGGTCTTTGGAGACAGGCCCCGGGGGAAGGCGGTGGTTCTGGGGAGGGAGCTGCCTAGATGGGGGAGGCTGCTGGCCGAGGGGCTGGGGCAGGGCCGGGGAGGAGGCGGTGGAGGTGGCCGCTGCCGGGGAGCTGGCGGAGTGCTGCATTGGTGGCCCCGACGACGTGGGCCTGACGTGGGGCGAGCCGGTGCGCGAGTCCGGGGAGAACTCTGTCTTGACGCTAGCCAGGTCCGGAAGCAGGAGGCCTCCCTGTAAGGTTCCCCCAGACTGTGCGCCCGTCCCAGGGGTGGGTCCGGCCAGATCAGGGAGGTCCTTGCGGTCCTCGAAGCCGTCGTTGAGGATGTCCTGGATGTCCTCATATGCCACCGAGCGGTTGAGCTCCTCCATGAGCTCCGTCCACTCCTGCTCGTTGAAGTTGAGGTCAGGGAAGAGGCTGTTGCTGGCTCCGCCCCCTGATGGCAGCATGCAGGGGAGGATGTCATCCATGGGCTCCTGCTTCATCTCTTTGAGCTGGAACTCCTGCTTCCCCGCGGTGGCGCCACCGGGCTCTCCACCATTGGGTATGAGAGAGTCAGCGCCAATGCCGTGCTTGGAGTCCAGGGGTGAGCAAGGGGGGATGCCGCCGTTGGACGTGCCGTTGTCTAGGCAGGCCTTCTTGGACGGGGGGTAGCTGTCGCTGAAGCCGTTGACCTGACCAGGGGAGCCAGCGCTCTCCAGCTTCCTCTTCACAGACTCCTGCAACTAGAGTAAATAACAAGTTAATAAATGCACAACGTCCCGTGTGGCTCAGTTGGTAGAGCATGGCGCTTGCGACGCCAGGGTTGTGGGTTCGATTCCCACGGGGGACTAGTACGAAAATGTATGCACTCACTACTGTAAGTCGCTCTGGATAAAAGCGTCTGCTAAATGACTGAAATGTAATCCTTAGTTCCTACATCCATTATTTGACTTATAAATTAATGATATACAGTACCAGTCAAAAGTTTGGACACACCAACTCATTCAATGGTTTTTCTTTATTTTCACTATTTTCTACATTGTAGAATAATAGTGAAGACATCAAAACTATGAAATAACACATATGGAATTATGTAGTAACCAAAATAAAAAAGTGTTAAATAAAATCAAAATACATGTTATATTTGAGATTCTTCAAAGTAGCCACCCTTTGCCTTAATGACAGCTTTGCACACTCTTGTAAATACTATAAATGTAAACAGACTGTATAGCCTCAAAACATGGTTCAAACTATCATTGTAAAATAATTTATTTTTGATCATTTACAGAATGGTAAAAAGTTCTCAGGTTAAATGTAAGACTAAAACCAGATGTAAATTATGTAGAAAGGATAATGGAGCTACAGTGGGGGGAAAAAAGTATTTAGTCAGCCACCAATTGTGCAAGTTCTCCCACTTAAAAAGATGAGAGAGGCCTGTAATTTTCATCATAGGTACACGTCAACTATGACAGACAAAATGAGGAAAAAAAATCCAGAAAATCACATTGTAGGATTTTTAATGAATTTATTTGCAAATTATGGTGGAAAATAAGTATTTGGTCAATAACACAAGTTTCTCAATACTTTGTTATATACCCTTTGTTGGCAATGACATAGGTCAAACGTTTTCTGTAAGTCTTCACAAGGTTGGTATTGGTGTATTGGCCCATTCCTCCATGCAGATCTCCTCTAGAGCAGTGATGTTTTGGGGCTGTCGCTGGGCAACACGGACTTTCAACTCCCTCCAAAGATTTTCTATGGGGTTGAGATCTGGAGACTGGCTAGGCCACTCCAGGACCTTGAAATGCTTCTTACGAAGCCACTCCTTCGTTGCCCGGGCGGTGTGTTTGGGATCATTGTCATGCTGAAAGACCCAGCCACGTTTCATCTTCAATGCCCTTGCTGATGGAAGGAGGTTTTCACTCAAAATCTCACAATACATGGCCCCATTCATTCTTTCCTTTACACGGATCAGTCGTCCTGGTCCCTTTGCGGAAAAACATCCCCAAAGCATGATGTTTCCACCCCCATGCTTCACAGTAGGTATGGTGTTCTTTGGATGCAACTCAGCATTCTTTGTCCTCCAAACACGACGAGTTGAGTTTTTACCAAAAAGTTATATTTTGGTTTCATCTGACCATATGACATTCTCCCAATCCTCTTCTGGATCATCCAAATGCACTCTAGCAAACTTCAGACAGGCCTGGACATGTACTGGCTTAAGCAGGGGGACACGTCTTGCACTGCAGGATTTGAGTCCCTGGCGGCGTAGTGTGTTACTGATGGTAGGCTTTGTTACTATGGTCCCAGCTCTCTGCAGGTCATTCACTAGGTCCCCCCGTGTGGTTCTGGGATTTTTGCTCACCGTTCTTGTGATCATTTTGACCCCACGGGGTGAGATCTTGCGTGGAGCCCCAGATCGAGGGAGATTATCAGTGGTCTTGTATGTCTTCCATTTCCTAATAATTGCTCCCACAGTTGATTTCTTCAAACCAAGCTGCTTACCTATTGCAGATTCAGTCTTCCCAGCCTGGTGCAGGTCTACAATTTTGTTTCTGGTGTCCTTTGACAGCTCTTTGGTCTTGGCCATAGTGGAGTTTGGAGTGTGACTGTTTGAGGTTGTGGACAGGTGTCTTTTATACTGATAACAAGTTCAAACAGGTGCCATTAATACAGGTAACGAGTGGAGGACAGAGGAGCCTCTTAAAAGAAGAAGTTACAGGTCTGTGAGAGCCAGAAATCTTGCTTGTTTGTAGGTGACCAAATACTTATTTTCCATCATAATTTGCAAATAAATTCATTAAAAATCCTACAATGTGATTTTCTGGATTTTTTTTATCCTAAAACTTTAGTCAATTTTGACACTGGAGTAAATGTTTGACTAATATCGATGCCACATTTAAAAAATGTATGCACGCATGACTGTAAGTCGCTTTGGATAAAAGCGTCTGCTAAATGGCATATTATTTATTTTATTACATAGGCCTAGGCCATTTTCAACTTCAGAGAAGTTGGTTTTTGCATTTAAAAAGGGATAGAGTCAGATGAACTCGTGGATATCATTTGTATTTATCTGCGTCCAGTATGAAGGAAGTTGGAGGTAGTTTTGCGAGCCAATGCTAACTAGCTTACCAAAAAGACTGGAAGTCTATGGGTACAGCTAGCATGAAGATATGCTTAATTTTCCTGTGAACATTACACTGTTTCACAAGGAAATAAAACCCCTTTCATCACTGTGTAGAGGCAAGTTACCCCTTTAAAATATTAAGAGCTTTGATCTCTATAGAAAGTAAAATTGTGACATTAAATAATTAAGCAGCTACTTATCCCCAGTGGTGAGAAACAGACCCGGAGTGGAGAGTATAACTGTCACTGGATGGTCACTGATGGTGTCAGACACAGAACCTTATGAGGGCAGTAATGCAACCTTATGACTTTGCTTAGGTTAGCTTCCTGTGACTGGACTGGCAGCTTGCCATAAGGTATACAAGCCGTCTGAATTGTCAAACACGGTCAAACTTCACATGGGTTTTTAGGAGAGCTTTACACAGCTCTTGGCCCGTATTCATCAAGCCAGAGTGCTGATCTAGGATCAGGATTGCCTTTTAGATCATCATTAATAAGATTACATGGATGGCGGGACCTGATCGTAGTTCAGCACTGGGTTGTAGCCTATTTCACAAAGCGGGATCAATACGTTTTAGTTTTTTTCCATGCTAGAGTCTAGGGCTGACCCCAATTAGTCGATTGGTCAATAGGCTGTTGGTCGATAAATAAATAAATATATTTGCGCCCATCTCAGTGAACTAATCCATTGCGAATGCCTAGACTAAAAGCCAATTTATGCTTGATCTGAAAATGGCTCCATATGGAGGGTGTGACGCAATTGCGGAGCCTCCAGCTGCATGCAGAGGCCAAATCGAACTCCGCATCGCGCCTCTCAAATTTTGTAACAATGTGGAGGTTTCTGTATAGCTCCGCATTGACATGACTGGTTGACGGTAGGTGGGGGCGGTACATCCTGTATAAACACAAACTCACTTCCTTGATAACTTCCTTCACAATAGCTCTGCACTTTTCCGCGAAGCAGTATGAATGCCCTGACTTCTGCAGAGGCCACGTAACCGTAAATGCTGCATGGCCAATGCAGACGTCTGATTGACTATGCAGCGCCCCGATGCACTGCTCTCTCCAGAATGCGCTCTCTCCCACCAATTTGTGCATTCATTGTTTCATAACTTCATTTTGTGAATTGTTTGTGTTTGATTGTTAGTGTATATCAATTCCCCATTACATATATCACCAGTAGTGCATTTACCGTTAATTCCTATAATTTCTCATCTACAATGTTTGTTTGGTTATGGTAATTTATGTTCATGCTTTCAATATATTATTATTCCAGTCTTTTACCGTTCTCATTGTCGGAGTGGACACTTTGTTTGCAGAGCTCACAACCTATTCTACACATATTGAGGATATGATAGTATTTCTGATTGGCTTAACGCACCACCACTAATGAGCTGTGGAGCTTCTCAAAGTAATTGTATCTTCACCTCAAACAGCAAGCAAACAAAGTCTGTTTTTACATCCCTTGAGAATGACAATAGTTCCTCAATGTACTTGAAAAGTATTTCCAGCTCTCTCCCTTTCGACAACCACTCAGCGTGAAAGGGAAAAATGTTGTGCTCTGATCCAGTTGAAACGTCATAAAATAGGCCTACCTGATTCAGTGCTTGACTTGGAATTAAATAGGTTCCGGTACTCATTGGGTGCTGGTACTGTTTATATTTAGGTGCAAGAGCTCCACAATCCTGTTTAGCTAATATTCCATAAGAGGAAAAGGAATTCAAGCAGTAGAACATTTGAGGTGCCGGTACTCAGCTCCGGTGAGCTCCTGCCCAAGTCAAGCACTGCTTCTTATCCCTTGCGCAAATAGCCTACAGCTGTGTCTGTCCAGAGCTCACTGGCGCAGGAAACTCTGGGCGCTAGCACAAGCTTAGGCTGGACCCAAGTTAATAGTTAATACAATGTTTCAAGTTCATTGCAGACAGACCATGCGTAGCCAATGTGATTTATATGAATTTTTTTTTATTTTTATTTTTTTTTTTTTAAATCAGAATATTTTCTACCTGCAGGCTGCAATGTTTTTATTTGGGCTATTTTTACATAGTTGGCAATGGCAATAGAAGTTAATTTTTAGGTTTGTATTATTATTTTCATTTAGATTTGGATAGAATTTTGATTAACCACATGACAATGATTGAGATATGAAGATGTTAATATAAATATGAAAACCATAACTGGCACGCAGATCGGTAGAAATTGTAAGATAAATTGCCATTCCACATGAGAAAGGTTGCAGACTCCTCGTGTAGCCTATTACCGGCAACTTCAGGAGAGTAATGGCAGAAACTGCGAAAGCCAGTAGGAGCAGGAGGAGAATGGTTGGGTCAGGTTAAGGTTTCTTCTTCTGGTTATCTAGATCTCTGGCTCCCTCTGTGACTTATTTCATCAAACAGTAAGCTTAAAGCGTCAGACAAGCTCAATGCGTATAGTTGACTTTATTAAAACACATAGGGTGTTCTTAGAATAAATAAATTCTTAGAATGTTTGGGAATTACTTATATTTTGTGAAAATTCTATAGCAATATAGAGTGGGAAAGCGGCTGTGCGTTTGGACAATTAATAGACTGCAGTAAAAAGCAAAGTGTCATTTCCATGCACTATCAGTGTAGTACATCTATACCATGAGGATCATCTAGGGATGGAAGGAAAGGGAGGAAAGGAGGAGTCTATCCCCAGGATTTGTGATACCGACGAGCATTGGTTCCCCAAGAACACCATGTCGCCCGAATCCCCCAGAATTAATTCATGCCAAAACAAAGATGTTTTAGCTCGGCAGCTCGTGTAAAGTCTCCGCAAACCGGGTAGCCCCCCCCCCCCCTCAAAAAAAAATATACAGAAAAATTATTTCACTGTATCACAACTCCAGTGGGTCAGAAGTTTACATACACTAAGTTGACTGTGCCTTTAAACAGCTTGGAAAATTCCAGAAAATGATGTCTTGGCTTTAAAAGCTTCTGATAGGCTAATTGACATCATTTGAGTCAATTGGAAGTGTACCTGTGGATGCATTTCAAGGCCTACCTTCAAACTCAGTGCCTCTTTGCTTGACATCATGGGAAAATCAAAAGAAATCAGCCAAGACCTCAGAAATTTTTTGTAGACCTCCACAAGTCTGGTTCATCCTTGGGAGCAATTTCCAAATGCCTGAAGGTACCACATTAATCTGTACAAACAATAGTATGCAAGTATAAACACCATGGGACCACGCAGCCGTCATACCGCTCAGGAAGGAGACACGTTCTGTCTCCTAGAGATGAACGTACTGTGGTGCGAAAAGTGCAAATCAATTCCAGAACAACATCCAAAACCATCATAAAAAAGCCAGACTACGGTTTGCAACTGCACATGGGGACAAAGATCGTACTTTTTTGAGAAATGTCCTCTGGTCTAATGAAACAAAAATAGAACTGTTTGGCCATAATGACCATTGTTATGTTTGGAGGAAAAAGGGGGTGGCTTGCAAGCTGAAGAACACCATCCCAACCGTGAAGCACAGGGGTGGCAGCATCATGCTGTGTGGGTGCTTTGCTGCAGGAGGGACTGTTGCAATTCACAAAATAGATGGCATCATGAGGAAGGAAAATCATGTGGATATATTGAAGCAACATCTCAAGACATCAGTCAGGAAGTTAAAGCATGGTCGCAAATGGGTCTTCCAAATGGACAATGACCCCAAGCATACTTCCAAAGTTGTGTCAAAACGGCTTAAGGACAACAAAGTCAAGGTATTGGAGTGGCCATCACAAAGCCCTGACCTCAATCCTATTGAAAATATGAACTGAAAAGGCGTGTGCGATCAAGGAGGCCTACAAACCTGACTCCGTTACACCAGCTCTGTCAGGAGGAATGGGCCAAAATTCACCCAACTTATTGTGGGAAGCTTGTGGAAGACTACTCGAAACGTTTGACCCAAGTTAAACAATTTAAATGCTACCAAATACTAATTGAGTGTATGTAAACTTCTGACCCACTGGGAATGTGATGAAATAAATAAAACCTGAAATAAATAATTCTCTCTACTATTATTCTCACATTTCACATTCTTAAAATAAAGTGTTGATCCTAACTGACCTAAGACAGGGGATTTTTACTAGGATTAAATGTCAGGAATTGTGAAAAACTGAGTTTAAATGTATTTGGCTAAGGTGTATGTAAACTTCCGACTTCAACTGTACCTATTAGAGGCTAATAAAACCTCTGAGCCGAGTGGAGCCAGCCTGCACACATAAAGGCTGCGATCTAGATGAAAGATGAGATGTAAAAACATGTCTTGTCCAGGACCGGAGTCTACGCAGACCGGTGCACCATAGCCAATCAGAGCTACAGTAGGCCTTTATGCAAACAAGCCATTTACCACACAGGCCTGCCATCATCAATTGAACTGGACTGTGTGTTTATAGGCAGTTGCGACATTATATCATTATAATACACCTGAATGGATTTCTGCAAATACCACGGGAGTCGTCTAACATTTGGGAATTTTACAGTCCTATTGATCAAACAACTATGAAAAGGTAGGCTCTCGCTCTCTCAGTTATGCACATCAACAACAAGATCAATAACTAATGCTAGCCAGAGCAAGATGTGCTAAAATCTAACAACGGAACATTAGATAAATCCTCTCAAACCTTTTCAGCTAGTTGGCTGTCAAAATTGCACTGATAGACGATGGAGAATTGTAGCCTACTCATCCTTCTACAGCTTGCCTGGCCCAACCAAGCACCCAAGCTAACTGGCTACTTCCAGACACAAATGAGAACACCTCACTGACCATTTTACTCGCCCTAGCAGAGTTGGTTAGGCTGTTTACATGCTATCTAGAGCATTTGTGACTAACTTACTTTTTTTGCCTACGTTTACTGACACCGGTCATTTTCAGCGGGTGTTGCACATTCGTAACTTCATCAGTTATTCTGCGCACTGGCACACTCAGACGAGAGTGCTCTGAAATCGGAGTAGCTAGATAGCCAGAGTGAATTTGCGAACACAAGAGATATGCTAGCTCAGCTAGTAGAGCACGGCGCTTGTAACGCCAAGGTAGTGGGTTCGATCCCCGGGACCACCCATACACAAAAAATGTATGCACGCATGACTGTAAGTCGCTTTGGATAAAAGCGTCTGCTAAATGGCATATTATTATTATTATAAGTTATTGCTAGCTAAACAAATGACACCTGCATCTCTAGCTGTGTATAGCCACCGAAAAACGATGAGGGGAAAAAGTCAGTCACTCACTCGTCTAATGACATGACATCCTCCTAGCAGCTAGCTAGCTAACTAACGTTAGGCTCCGTGTTTTAACTTGCTACATAAATAGATACGGTAGCCTATTAGCCACATTATGAGTGACTAGTGATCATTGCCCTTGCTAGTCTGATTGTATTGACATTCCCAGCCTTAGTTACATTCGTCCGTTTTTGTCCAAAATATTGAGTCATTGAAACTGAAACCGTGCATCCCGAATGGAGGCAGCAAACAATGTACCAGGCCAGCTGTGATTTACAACCTGACAGCAATATTTTTTTGGACTACCAAGAAATGTATCAGTGAATTATATGAATCATGCGTTGAACTGCATCCATCTATTCTGCCAACAATGCTTTAATGTATGTCATGGATCGTTGAGTCAAATAGAACCTATTTTAAAACTTTTTTTTTTTTTTTTTTGTGTGTCATTTAGCAGACGCTCTTATCCATAGCGACTTACAGTTAGTGAATGCATACATTATTTTATTTTTCATACTGGCCCCCCGTGGGAATCGAACCAACAACCCTGGCTTGCAAACGCCATGCTCTACCAACAGAGCTACATCCCTGCTGGCCATTCCCTCCTCTACCCTGGACGACGCTGGGCCAATTGTGCGCCTCCCCACGGGTCTCCCGGTCACGGCCGGCTACGACAGAGCCTAGATTCAAACCAGGATCTCTAGTGGCACAGCTAGCACTGCGATGCAGTGCCTTAGACCACTTGGTGTTGTAGCATAAACTGGGAATTTCATATTTTGGACTGATTTGATTGTCTGTTTCATATCTGCAAAGTAGTTAAAACGCTGTCAGTTCCACTTTAACACAACAATACCGTTGTCAACATAGGCAGCGCACCGCTCGTTTGATCTGGTCTCTCACACTTTGTGCGCTGGCTGTGCCGAGCTGTTTGGCTTTAGAGAGAGAAGAGTGTGTGCACGGCTCATCTGATCTGGCCTCGTCTCTAACCCAATCATTCCCCCGGAGGAAAGAAAGTCTAGTCTAGTGACTCACTCCAGTGCTTTATGAACCTGAAAAACTGGTCTCTGACTTTCACTCTCCCCTCTCTGCCTCCCCCACCCCTCCTTCTGAGCAACCACCGCCGCTACCACTACTACCACAGACCCCATAGTCACATGAAACGAATTACCATGTGTATAGACGGAGGAAGCCCTACAACAAAAGAGCTAGTGCCTGGGCCGTGGAGGGGAGCATGCCGAATTCCAAACCTCGGGCCCAGCGCAAAGAGAGCGCCCGTTTTGCCTTTGAAGCCACCGGTGTGGCCACAATGGGCCTCCCTGGGATGTGCAGGAGTGGAACGGAGCGGCTGGCCGGTCTAACTATGGGCTGGGGGGACAGTTTATAGCACAAGCTTTAACCTCATACTGACTGGCCAGGCTGGAGATGAGCCTTGTTAAAATGGCACAGAGTGACAATGACAGACAGGCTAAGTAGCTTGCTAGCACAGTGCCACAGTCACTTAGTAAGTGACATTACTCCTAGGTTATAGGGTGCATCAACAATGGGAGAGAGAGTCAAGTTCTGCCCCGTGGCTTGATATACACACAGCTAGACCGTGGCATTGCATTGTGTGGATCAGGAAAGGGCACTGAGAGCAATGATGAGTCAGAGGCTCAGAGCATTAGGCTGGGGGTGGAGTTGGCTTTTCTAATACCCCTGAGTCATCATTCAGAGGCTAGTTATATTGTCCTAATGCAGCTGTTGCCCAAATGGTGGGAGGCAGTCAATTCCTACTGGGCCGTGACTGAAGCCTGGGATGTGGAAAAAATTGCTTTTATATTTCTCAGACTTAAAATTGGAATCCTTAATTGTGAAACTGCCACGTCCATTTGGTATATTATGACAAAGTTGTTACTGCAAACAACAAACACTGTTTTTCCCCCTCTGACATCATTGCATGTGCGATAGAACAGCAGAATATGTACAGCAATTTCTTTTGCCACACTGCTCAGCGCAACACGCCTCAGTTTTATCCACAAATCAAAAACAATACCAAAGGTGCTGGGGCGGACAGTGACGCTGTTTCTCCTAATGCAGATTCCATCGTTAAGAGGGGTCACAGAGGCTAAATGCTTCAGGTAGGGTCATGGCAAAAAACAAAACTGTCCAAATGGATACTGCCATGGTAGGTAGGTCAGCCTGCCAAGACAACCAAACTGCATGAAAAATGTATGCGCTCACTAACTGTAAGTCGCTCTGGATAAGAGCGTCTGCTAAATGACTAAAATGTAAAAATGTATTCCATCCTACTTTTCCTATCTCCACAACACATGTAAATACAAGACTGGAAGTAGTACAGCAAAAGGTCGCTAATTTGTCAAGTGTAATTCAATTGTTCCTTTTCACTTTTCAGTTTCCCTCGAGTATAACATATGCCAGGGATATTTTCTACAGGGTCAGTAGAGGTAACTTGAGCAAACGGAAATTTCCCCCAACACCCGATAGGGCCTTAATCAACACTGAAAACAATGGAGGCAGCAGCTTTTTTTCCCACCATGGTTGATTATAAGTCCTTTGGACAACTGGATGATTGATGAAGAAAGAAACAAGCCTAGATATTAGCAGAGACTAGAATGTTCTTGGAGTGTGAGCACTCACTGAATACTTAGCTATTTATCTGAGTCACAAGAGAGAGAAGCCGAGTCTTTTAATATGTGACTTGGGTATCCCACTTTGGCTGTGCTATCAGCATTCTGATAATTTAGAGACCCGTGACAACTCTAGAAAATGGCTGTGACTATACATTAACTTCAGTGACAACAATACATGGACCACTCTAGTGGACACCTCACTGTGTGACACAGAACAACTTTAACAATGTGCCTTGTTGAAAAACCTAAGTCCTTTCCATATTCTGTTACATGTAAATTTATGTTTTAACTAATATAGTGGGGGAAATGAGTTTCACCACAGCAACAAAAATTGTGTTATTCGCTTAATGGATGCTGAGACCATTGAGCTCCAGCATGCTAAAGGCTGCCTAGTAAACACAGCAGGACAACAATGAGAACATGTGACAGCAGCCATCCAGCATGCGCCCAGGAGCACACATGATACTTGCTACAACTCTTCTATGACAACCACTGCACACGGAGCACACTACAAATGATAGCAAATGCTCTTTCCTTGACTTGCAATAATTGCACATGAAAAGTAATAATTTAACGCAGGAATGCGCAAATAAAATCACTGCCACGGAGCTGTTATCAGATTTCTAGTGCATGTGCATCCACTCCCTGAAATGGTAACTTACCGCAATCAAAGTGCTGTTTCTGCTCTGCTCGGGCGTTCCACCATCCCCTGGGTCTGCGTTGTTGCCCCCGGTCCCTGACCCTCTCTGAACTGCTTGGTCGGATGTTGGCTGTGGCTGCCTGTGCTTACTCGACCGCTTGGCCTTGGTTTGCAGGCACCGTTGGTGCAGTGCAAAGGTCTGCTGCCGTTCCATCTCCAGCCGCTCCCTCGCTGTGTTGTCGTAGCGGTTCTCGCAGCTGGTGTGATGTCTCCTGAAGAGCTCGATTCGACGGCGAAGTCGCTCCATCACCGCACTGTGTCGCGGCACTACAAAATCGGCCATCATCAATAAAGAGTGTTTTAAACTCTGGACTCAGGTTTCGGCAGTCCGGATAAAATGCTGAATTTGCTCCTTTTCAGTGTGGGCGTCTACCCGCTACCCTTTTACAGAGAGTCAACGAACGTTACTGCTTCCATAGTCGACCTTTGTCTTACTAATAGACTTTAGTCACAACACTCGGAAATCGCACGTAAAAGACGATTGATAAAATCGTATTTAACTACCTAGCCAGCAAGGTAGATAGTGCACTGCATCATGAAAGATATTGCCACTAATAACTGTCTCTAGCTAACGTTAGCTAGCTAAAGGCCCCAGCATTGGCTAGTTAGTCAAATTCGCAAAAGCTCATTCACGCCGTGTCTATATGAATGAGCTAGTTTAAATTACAAACTCATGTATCTTTAATAAACTAACTCAATTAATTGTATCACAGATACGCACGTCAAATATAATGAGCTGAGAGAATAATGTAGCCAAGTTAGTGGAAAGCTAGCTGCTCACTAAAATGCTAGTATGGGACTCCATAACATTCCTCTGGTCAAACATCCAAAGTTTGAGCGAGAAAAGCCCGGCATAACTTTCACTTTAGCCGCTACAGTAGCTAGCGTAGTTATCTAACATTTAGCTAGCCATCGCTAAACGGGACCGTATTAGCTAGAACAAACATTTCACCGTGTAAGATTGTTATAGTTTACATTACCAACAATTAAGATTTTAAAACATCTTACTGACTACTTACTTACCCAACTTTACGGAGCTGGATTAGCTACCTGTTAGCTACAACAAACACTCCAGTCTCATGGTGAAAGTCAGTTACCGTTAACTAGCTAACGTTAGCCATGAAGTTAGCTAAACCAAGTGACCCTCAGTTTCTTTCTACTAAGCAAGCTAACTACTGTAGCTACAGTAACGTACTCCGGCAATTAACTTCTGCTAGCTAGGCAGGATAAAACGTCAAGTTACCGATTACCACCGACCTACAAAACACTAAAAACGTTAGCTTAGTAATAACAAAAGTACGCGCAACTTGACTCGCTAGCCAAATGTTGCCTGTGTTCTGCCTGGCGAGCTGATCCTCGGTGTAGAACCAAATAATATGACTTGATAGCTAGCAGCCAACTGCAACAATATACGGATGTAACGGCGTTAGCTAGCTAGCTTGAAAACCAACTATAACAAAGCATGATACCCAGACTAATTTCTAAAAAAATCTCACAAGTACTCCATATAGCTAGAAACACACAACCCGACTATGATGCAGTTATGTCGAATGCAAAACAAAAACAAATTGCGACAATAATCAAACTCTGCCCCTCTTTGCTATTTCTATTGTTTTCCAATGGACAGTCAGATATTCGTCGCCATTTTGGAACAAGTTTTTTTCCTTTACTTTTTCTCTAACCTTATGCTTTGCCAGACGGTAGTGTCGCCAAAGATACTGTTTCGCTGTCCCCACCTCATTGTAAAGATTGACAGTGAAAACAAGCAATAAATAGAGAGACCATGGCATTTGCTTGAATTTGCAGTTAACATGTGCAACATTGTGTCCTTTGAAAACATATGAAAAGTATGGCACAGTCAGTCAGACTTCAAGTAAGCTCAACTAATGAAGACACTCCTTATTGGAAGAATGTGATGTGACTGATTAGTAGCTATATCAAATCCCTACACTGGTGTCAGAAGTTGGATGGCACCTGTGAGCCCATCAGAGAGGCATGTACCTGTCAGGGACTTCGTATAGAGAAGTGTGGGGAATTGCTCTCCGCAGGGCAAGTGGTACCTATGCACCAAGTCTGGAACCAACAGGACCCTGAACAGCTTCTACCCCCAAGCCATAAAACTGACCCCTTTTTGACACATCACATATGCTGCTGCTACTGTTTATTATCTATCCTGTTGCCTAGTCACTTTATTCCTAGTTATATGTACATATCTACCGCAATTACCTCGTACCCCTGCACATCGACTCGGCACTGGTACCCCGTGTATATAGATATCCAAGTTATTGTTACTCATTGTGTATTTATTATTACGTGTTATTACTTTTCTATTATTTCTCTCTGTTCTTTCACTCGGCATTGTTGAGAAGGGCCCTTAAGTATTTCACTTTTAGTCTTCACCTGTTGTTTACGAAGCATGTGATGAATACAATTTTATTTGAAAGGAGGCGATAATGTAGTGGCCCTTGTGGTAAGCATGAACTTTGCCTATGGGCTGGGAGACCAGGGGTGTATTCATTAGTCACAGACCATAGCAAAAACTTTTTGCAACGGAATCCGACTAATGAATACACCCCAGGGTTCGAAATCTCCAAACGGCATTGCACTGTCACCGTTTGCTACATTAGTGTCAGAAGTGGGATGGAATGAGGCCATCTGAAGCACAGGCAGACGTGCTTGGATCCTGAAAGAGGGTCAAGATATATATGTAAATGTTGTGGGCAATATTTGCTCCTGTGTTTTTGTTGATGGCAACTATGCACATCTGACAATAGGGATTTGGTTAGTTACTTTCTAAATGTAATCTGTTACAGTTACTAGTTACCTGTCCAAAATGTTTAATCAGTAATATAACTTTTGTATTACCCAATCTCAGTAATGTAATCCGTTTACTTTCAGTTACTTTTGGATTACTTTCCCCTTAAAAGGCATTAGAAGAAGACAAAAAGGATCCATCAAATGAATTTGATGTGTCATCATAGTGGTCTCTGATTTGTGATCAGACTCCCTTAGGTGGAACAAACTTTAATTTGTGCCTTTTTTCAATGCTTTTCAACAGAAAGGTGTCATACTGTTGTTGTTTTTTTCGCAAACATCCTTTCTGAATTTAGAAGGAATCCATGAAAAAGAAATAATCTAGTTTTTCAAAAGTATCTATAATCTGATTACAATATTCTTGCTGGTGAAGTGCAGCTAACTGATTAGTTCGTTTTTTTGTAATCGGATTACATGTGTAATCTGCACTGCATGCATAATCAGTGAATTCAGAGTGCAGGAATTCCAATTGAAGGTGTTAGCTACCCATGTTTCAACAATTTTCTATGAGCCACACACATGAGTAAACTATGCTTGTTTGCACAATGACAGGTTTAGCCAGTGCCTAATTTGTAAATCGGGAGGTGCCAGAACAAAAAGTGAGCGCTAGGGGAGGCGACCTGGGGAGTTCTGAGGTACCGGAACACATGAGAAAAACAAAGATACCTTTATAATTAAGTATTGCATGCATATCATCGCATTTGCGTAGTGACATAGAGCAGTAGAGTAGAGGCACTTACAGAAGTTGCACACATTGGGACCATTTTTAGTAGCCTAGGGTCCGGGAAAAATGTGGCCTATGATAAATACATTTCATGCAATTCTACGTCATTTTACATGACTGGAGACTTTGGTAGAATCTTTTTTAATACACACAAATAATTGAAATGGCAGGCTACTTTGACACTGACAAACTGAGATCAATAAAAACGACCATGTCTTGAATCCATCAATAGCCTAGGCCTAGGTGTGTGGATACATATTGTAGGCTACAATGTGAGGAGGAAATTGTAGTCCTAAAAATGCTTTCCAATTTCACTGACTCACCCAATAATGCGCAACTCACTCGTTGGTGATGGCCGATGCGCTCGTGCCAAAAGCCCATCTCTCTCTCTCTCTTGTAAAACAATATTTGGAAGTTGATCAAATATTTTGGTAGCCTACAGCATAGTCTTCTCTTTTCAGCAGGAGCCATTTGCTTTCCAACCTGTGTTTCCCTAGATTGTATTTGAAATATTGCGAAAGGCTTGTTTTGTCTTCATGCTGTTTTTTAACTGACATATTTGCCGCGCGTTCCCGACTGTAGATTCCTTGTTATTGGGCTACAATCCACAGCAAGGCAATTTTTTTAAAGAAGCAATTGATAGTCTGTGGCTAAATTATTGGCCTTTTCATGGTGAGGTAGGCTATTCTGAATGATTTCATTTATTTCTGAACAGACAGCAGTAATTCTAGAACTTTGGCAAATATATTTCAATTTATCAAGCTCCTCCAGAACCCTTCGCGCGGCTATGGTTCTATTAGGAAATAAATGATGAAGTGCAAAACTGGAGAGATGAGAGTTGCAGGCTCATGTCTGTCAGAGCAGAGAGAGGGAGAAAGATCATAAAAAGTTAATCTCATTCTAGTTATGTGAGAGATACTGGCGCGCTTCTCACACAGCCACCGCCAAGCATTGGACTCAAACATAGGTTACAATGTTGCGCAAACCATAAACTTGGGCCTGCCCAACCCGAGTCAACTCTTAGAATATTAACAGAAAATATACTTCTTGACATTACGTTTTTTTGTGGGGGCAGGAGGATGAAGGAAGAGGCAACTCGAATGAACTTTGATCGCTTTTATTAGATTTTTTACATAGCAAAAAGTGACAATTATTTTTCATGCCTCAAGGGGTACCAGATCCGGCCAAATGGGTTCCGGAACAAAACAGTCCAAAACGGAGAGGTGCTAGATACTGTTCCGGCAGGATCCGGCTCAAATTAAGCACTGGGATTAGCTACAAAAACATAGCTACAGTAGCTACCAAAATTAGCTAATCAGAAAAGGGACTCACTTATGTCAAACTTTGAAGTATAATCCATTCACAACTACAGTCATGGTCAAACGTTTTGAGAATCACACAAATATTAATTTTAACAAAGTCTGCTGCCTCAGTTTTTATGATGGCAATTTGCATATACTCCAGAATGTTAGGAAGTGTGATCAGATGAATTGCAAAGTCCCTCTTTGCCATGAAAATGAACTTAATCCCCAAAAAACATTTCCACTGCATTTCAGCCCTGCCACAAAAGGACCAGCTGACATCATGTCAGTGATTCTCTCGTTACCACAAGTGAGTGTGTTGACGAGGACAAGGCTGGAGATCACTCTGTCATGCTGATTGAGTTAGAATAACAGACTGGAAGCTTTAAAAGGAGGGTGGCGCTTGAAATCATTGTTCTTCCTCTGTTAATCATGGTTACCTGCAAGGAAACACGTGCCGTCATCATTGCTTTGCACAAAAAGGGCTTCACAGGCAAGGATATTGCTGCTAATAAGATTGCACCTAAATCAACCATTTATCAGATCATCAAGAACTTCAAGGAGAGAGGTTTAATTGTTGTGAAGAAGGCTTCAGGGCGCCCAAGAAAGTCCAGCAAGCGCCAGGACCATCTCATAAAGTTGATTCAGCTGCGGGATCGGGACACCACCAGTGCAGAGCTTGCTCAGGAATGACAGCAGGCAGGTGTGAGTGCATCTGCACGCACAGTGAGGCGAAGACTTTTGGAGGATGGCCTGGTGTCAAGAAGGGCAGCGAGGAAGCCACTTCTCTCCAGGAAAAACATCAGGGACAGACTGATATTCTGCAAAAGGTACAGGGATTGGACTGCTGAGGACTGGGGTAAAGTCATTTTCTCTGATGAATCCCCTTTCCGATTGTTTGGGGCATCCGGAAAAAAGCTTGTCCGGAGAAGACAAGGTGAGCGCTACCATCAGTCCTGTGTCATGCCAACAGTAAAGCATCCTGAGACCATTCATGTGTTCTTCTCAGCCAAGGGAGTGGGCTCACTCACAATTTTGCCTAAGAACACAGCCATGAATAAAGAATGGTACCAACACATCCTCCGAGAGCACACATTCTCCCAACCATCCAAGAACAGTTTGGTGACGAACAATGCCTTTTCCAGCATGATGGAGCACCTTGCCATAAGGCAAAAGTGATAACTAAGTGGCTCGGGGAACAAAACATCGACATTTTGGGTCCATGGCCAGGAAACTCCCCAGAACTTAATCCCATTGAGAACTTGTGGTCAATCCTCAAGAGGCGGGTGGACAAAAAAAAAAAAAAATTCTGACAAACTCCAAGCATTGATTATGCAAGAATGGGCTGCCATCAGTCAGAATGTGGCCCAGAAGTTAATTGACAGCATGCCAGGGCGGATTGCAGAGGTCTTGAAAAAGAAGGGTCAACACTGCAAATATTGACTCTTTGCATAAACTTTATGTAATTGTCAATAAAAGCCTTTGACACTTATGGAACGCTTGTAATTATACTTCAGTATACCATAGTAACATCTGACAAAAAAATCTAAAAACACTGAAGCAGCAAACTTTGTGAAGACCAATACTTGTGTCATTCTCAAAACGTTTGACCATGACTGTAGACTAATAACACAAGCCGACAATAGTATGGTCTTAACATTACATATTTCGTACCATAAATCAAATGGAACTGTACAAACGTGTAGCATTAAACTTTTACTTGGTCAACATTTTACAGGATGCACATGCGCAATATGGCATAAATTGGCTAAATGCAACTGCATAATGGAACTGAATTGAAAGAAAAGCATTGACTAAGGCCAGTGCTATATTTAGCATTTGGCATATTTTTCCTCTTGGTTTCTTGTCCTAGGTTATAGTCTAGTCTCATTGCAAAACACTAGTGGTCATTGATTGTTGTCTGGATACCAGTCTTTTTACCTTGCCACTCAGCAAATTACAGGATTGTCTGGCTGTACAGAGATGGCAACCAGGCTACATTGGGTGATCATTCTCTATGTGGATAATACACTGTAGCACTGATATAACTCTCCCAACCTATGCCAAGCCCTCAGTTGAACCACCTATTATGCGAAATTAGATTACGCAAATGAAATATGTTTATCTGGCTTCCCGAAATAGCTTGACTCACAAAACTGGAGGCAACAGGGCATGATAGCTTGTTACACTAGGGTCTATTTTAAACCATTCAGGAAAAGTTGTGGCAAATTGATTCTGGAAAGAAGCCTCCTTCTCGTCTCATTTTGTACAGGGTCAAATGCACCCTTAAGCATCTCTAATCAGTCTTCAAGCGCCGATAGCATGTGAATCATCTGGTTACAGTACAGGATTACTTGAATAGCAGATATGTTTTACCTCCAGTGCCATAGATGTAGAAATGGCTCTGAATGCGAGATGATTTATTCAAAACATGGAGACAATCTACTCCAAAAGAGATCTATGCTGTCCATTCTATTGTTCTGAATTATAGCTTACAAGCTTTAAATATGAACATAATTAATTACATGAACATAATTCATATATTAATTACATAAAGGTATAAATAATGTTCATATTAATTACATGAATCACACACATGCAAATGAAGAGTACAACCAATTGGAAATGTGATGTGCCATGAGCAAAAATGTACAGTGCATTTGGAAAGTATTCAGACCCCTTCCCTTTTTCCACATTTTGTTACATTACAGCCGTATTCTAAAATTGATTAAATAAAAATGTTTCTTCAATCTACACACAATACCCCATAATGACAAAGCGAAAACAGGTTTTTAGAATTGTTTACATATGTATTAAACATAAAAAACAAATACTTTATTTACATAAGTATTCAGACCCTTTGCTATGAGACTCGAAATTGAGCTCAGGTGCATCCTGTTTCCATTGATCATCCTTGAGATGTTTCTACAACTTGAGTGGAGTCCACCTGTGGTAAATTCAATTGATTGGACATGATTTGGAAAGGCACACACCTGTCTATATAAGGTCACACAGTTGACAGTGAACGTCAGAGCAATGAGGTTGAAGGAATTGTCCGTAGAGCTCTGAGACAGGATTGTGTCGAGGCACAGATCTGGGGAAGGGTACCAAAAAATGTCTGCAGCATTGAAGGTCCCCAAGAACACAATAGCCTCCATCATTCTTAAATGGAAGAAGTTTGGAACCACCAAGACTCTTCCTAGATCTGGCCGCTGGCCAAACTGAGCAATCGGGGGAGAAGGGCCTTGGTCAGGGAGATGACCAAGAACCCACTGGTCACCTGACAGAGCTCCAGAGTTCCTCTGTGGAGATGGGAGAACCTTCCAGAAGGACAACCATCTCTGCAGCACTCCACCAATCAGGCCTTTATGGTAGTGGCCAGACGGAAGCCACTCCTCAGTAAAAGGCACGACAGCCCGCTTAGAGTTTGCTGAAAGACACCTAAAGGACCCTCAGACCATGAGAAACAAGATTTTCTGGTCTGATGAAACCAAGATTGAACTCTTTGGCCTGAATGCCAAGCGTCACATCTGGAGGAAACCTGGCACCATTCCTACAGTGAAGCATGGTGGTGGCAACATCAAGCTGTGGGGATGTTTTTCAGCAGCAGGGACCGGGAGACTAGTCATGATTGAGGGAAAGATGAACAGAGCAAAGTACAGAGAGATCCTTGATGAAAACCTGCTCCAGAGCGGTCAGGACCTCAGACTGGGGCGAAGGTTCACCTTACAACAGGACAACGACCCTAAGCACACAGCCAAGACAACGCAGGAGTGGCTTCGGGACAAGTCTCTGAATGTCCTTGAGTGGCCCAGCCAGAGCCCGGACATGAACATCTCTGGAGAGACCTGAGAATAGCTGTGTAGTGACACTCCCCATCGAACCAGACAGAGCTTGAAAGCATCTGCAGAGAAGAATGGGAGAAACTCCCCAAATACAGGTGTGCCAAGCTTGTAGCGTCATACCTAAGAAGACTCAAGGCTGTAATTGCTGCCAAAGGTGCTTCAACAAAGTACTGAGTAAAGGGTCTGAATACTTATGTAAATGTGATGTTTCAGTGTCTTTTTTTAAAAATACAATATGCAAAAAATTCTATAAACTTGTTTTTGCTTCGTCATTATCGAGTATTGTGTTTAGATTGAGGGGAAAAAACAATTTATCCAGTTTAGAATAAGGCTGCAACGTAACAGAATGTGGAAAAAGTCAAGGGGTCTGAATACTTTCCGAATGCACTGTAGTTCTAAAATAAGCAGCATCAAACGGCCTGGGTGTAATACCTGCTCTGTGAAATGTCGATTGATACCAAGTGACCGGCAGCAATGAAACACTGGCTCCCAGTAAGTTTCTATTAGGCCTTTTTATTCATCAAAACAAATGGCATCCCCATTCATAGATGACTGCATTTATAACAGACATGGGTCAGAGGAGCAGTCTTTGACCCATATTCACAACATGATGGCTATTCGTGATCACGGTATTTAAAGCCACCACTCATCAATAATTATTCAACATTACCCATGATGACATTAAATCTCAACCGTGGTGACCAAAGGCATCTCTTTATAATTTATTTTCTCTCTCTAGTGTACAGGACTAAGTTAGGTTAAACCCATTCATTTCGGTGACCCATCAGAGAGAGTTGTCACACAGGAAAGCTGAGATACGTAAGGTACAATATAGTGCACTGTTTAGTCTAAGAGTATTATCTAGTCAGCTTTAGGCAGAACCAAATATAAAGAGAAAAGAACAATGAAAACATTGAAGACTTCAAAATGAAAACATAAAAGGTTTTTGAAGCCAGAAAGAGCGTAAAGGAGAGATGCATGTCTTTAGGAATTTTCAAAAAGGGTAGTTTTCTGACCATTTCATTTTCTTGAAACGCAAACTAGGTGCCTCGGTCTCCCACCTTGTAATTTATCTAAGCCCCAAACCAAAACCACACAATCCCTGCAGCAATAGTACCATACAGAGAAACATGACTAATCAGGTTGCAGTGGGAACTAACTACCTCACTTATACCCCATGACATCTTTCACAATAAGAAAAAAGAAAACCATGAGACCAATACAGGAAAAACACACTGCCAACCTCCAATCTCTTAATGACATCTGTTTATTTCTGTTTTGTAAGTCACATCATCATAGTAAGTTCTACCTCTTTCCCCCCCGCCTTCCAAAATGTACTGTAGTAGATGAATGACCAATCAACCAACAGCTCCTGTGGATCCTCATCACCCAATCACTTGCAGCTTAGAGTTTGTCGGGGGAACCAATCCCCATTCACCTCGCTCGATCAGACACCGGAGAAGAGAAGAATTGTGGGATTCCAAACACGTCTGACCGACTTTCACCACTAAGGAATCCGAGACCACAAAACTTGACCAGGATTCCATGCAGACGGACAGCAAATTACCTGGTATATGACTGTGTGTTTACATGGGCGCCTCAGTTACCTTGAAAAGTGCCAACTCTATTTACATGGGGCAAACCTCTATTAACGGCTTTCGACTTTCACTACTTTTTAGGATGTTCTGAAAACTGTGGACAGGTTCACAAGAACGTGAGTAAGAAACAAGGAACGTTAAAGACTAGGCCACAGATGGGTACCAGCTACCGAGCGGTCCTAATGTGTTCTCCTTAGTGCCTTTTTCATGTCGTATGGAGTCAGTTTAAAGGAAAAGACATTAATGAATCATGCAGTTAGAAAGTAGAGGTGGAAAGCTTGTCTGACACCCTGAGAGTACTCTTTATGACTCTTGTAAAAGACTCAGACTGAGAAACATAAGAGTAAAAGTCTGAAAGATCTGTGTTCAATTCTGCTGCTGCTTTTGACTTAGGAAATGCAGTCACAGGATGGGCTTACTTACTCATCTACCAATAGCCAGGCGGGAGACTGAATTATCCCACTAATGAGGGAGGAGGCTGCACGAGCTGAGCCAGGACAGTCCCCCCTCCCCCATCTTCTCTTGATGAGTCAGCAGGAGCAAGGACACCAGTCTGAAAACCTTGGCATCTACCCTAGAAGCCTGCCGGCAACCAACAGTCACCCCTCCGAGCACCAGCCTCACATACTCCCTCACAAAAAAAGTGGAATGCCAGCTTTTCTTTTCTCCTCTCCCTCACACATATAGGTTAATGTACACTCACACTAGATCCCTACATTATAGGTCAAGACCAGAGAAAAAAACAAAAACATTAATGGAATCAAAAGACTTTAGAAAAAAATGAAAAAGCCATGTACATAGTATTAAAAAAAGAAACGTCACAGTACATTCACAGAAAGAAAAAAAACATTAGGCAAACCTTGCTATAGGGCTGTGTAAGGCAGCACACATTCTAATCTATTGAAGCCCGCTTACTAAGCTCGCTTTCTCTGCTTCAAAAACGTTGCACACCCCACAGTTCTGCAGGGAACTGAGCATGTGCAATGGATCCCCCTTACTCCCAGCTTCACTGTATTAGGAACATCTTGAGCGAGGTCTTCTACAACCAAAACACACTTTAAAAAACATGGTGGAAGCCACATGGAATGAAATGTCGAAGAGACCTGTGCATCATGGGAAACTTAGTCTCTTGAAACCTCCCAAAACCACAACTGCAGTGTTAAAAGCAGACAATAAGACATCCAAATTCCATGTTTTTTGTTTTGTTTGTCGAGACCCTCAACAGAAATGTTCATGCTAAGTCTATCTACCCCTCTGACACATACAAAACGCATGGGACTGTTAAACTGGACCAAGCAAGAAGACATCGAGAGGGAGAATGGCTAAAACCTACGAGCTGTAGTGTTGCCCAGAACCATTGCTTGATAAATACTGTCTAGATCTGCAGGATAGATGGATGGAAGGATGGGGGGAGCAAAGGGTGTTGGAGGTGGGGGTTCAGGGGAGGAGGGGTCCCTAGGTTAGTGTCTGCTGCACTGTTTTACGGAATGGTATAGGAAATCGTTTGATTCTTTCTTCGCTGTTTGAAAAGCCCCTTCCTACACTAACAACTCATCAGTCTTCATCTTCACCATACTATAATCCACACTTCCATACTGGAGGCAGTCATGATTGTTTTCTGTTGATCCTGACGAGAGAGATCACTTCATCGTCCTGGGAGGGGGGATGTGTGGAGAAGACAGCCGGGGGCGGGGGGGAATAAGGGGAGCCGGGGGGGGGGGGGGGGTCAGGCCTGTTGGTTTAAATCAGAAGATCCAGGGTTGTGGCAGCCACATCAGTCCTTTCTCCCTTTCGTATTTCTGGGGGACCTCCTGAGGACGTCATCTTCTTGTTTCTGGAGAGAGCGGGAAAGAGTGGGAGCTTTGGGTCACACAAGCCACAATTGTCTCTATTCTGAACGATTAAATGAACACAATCAACCCATCAAAATGATTTCTAAAGCCCTTTTTACATCAGCAGTTGTCAACAGTGCTTTTACAGCGCTCTTTCTACACAAGCGGTAAGCTCTGATTTCTAGTCACGACAAAACACATCATGTTAACCAAGTCATGCCTTACTGTCCCGTACCTGATCAGCTGCCTCATCATCTTCCTCTTCCCCCTCCTCATTTACTGCTGCCTCTTCTTCCTCCTCCTCCTCCTCTTCATCTTCTTTCTCTGCAGGGCTGTCCTCTGCATCACTCTTCTTCTCCGCTGCTGCTGCTATGGAAACCAACCAACACAGAGTTAGCTTTTACTGAGACCTTGCATTGTGAAATACCCCCACGTGACGCAAGGCAGCAAGCAAACATGGTCAAATACATGTAAATGACACACTGTCTAGACATACATTTGTGAAGCTACATCAGTAGAGAAAGAGAGGGAGAAAGGGAGAGAGAGACCGAGTGAGAGAGACAGAGAGAGTGAGACAGAGGGACAAAGGGGGAGAGAGAGAGAGAAAGAAAGAGATGGACAGAGAGACAGAGCCAATGAGTCTTAACCTGGCTGGCTCTTCTCCTCCTTGACTTGGTCCTCCTCAGCCTTCTCCTCTTCCTCCTCCTTCACGTCTGGCTGGGGCTCGTCTGTCTTCTTGTAGTCGGCTGCAGCTGGAGCCGCCGCCTTCTGTTGCGGAGAGAGAGAAAAGATACAGATCAAAACATTGTCATCCATTAAGGATTTTACTCCCACCGACACATTTACTGAAAGTCTTGGAAACTAAAGTCCAGACTTGACCGAACTGTCGACAAATAACCATGCAGAGGTAAATGTGTGTGGGAGTATTTTCATAATAAATGAGACAATAAATGGTCTGTGGGGCTCTCACCTTTCCGGTGCAGAAGAAGACGATGAGGAGGACGAAGGGCACGGCCACAGTCAGCACGTAGACTACCCACAACCAGGGACGCTCGTCTGCTGCGGTCATCATCTGGTTCACCAGCCCGGGCTAGAGGAGAGGGGAGAAGACAGTCACGGAATGGTCAAGATCTGGGAACCATCGACCACAACTAACCAACATCAACTACATTACAAGCAGGGTATTGATTACATCTGCACTATTGGGGGTGCCGTTGAAAATAGTTATTAGTAGCAAGTTTGCCACAACATCGCTGGTATAACCAAGTGTTGTATATGGGTCATTAAGAAATGGTCGGAACAGGTCTATAGAAAGTCGACCATAAAGAAAACTTAACTCCTGTATCTTTCATATGGACCCTAAATGTGTATCGTGTTATGAAAGAAAAAACAGTTGTTGAGGGTTTCTTTCCACATCTCACAGCTTCCTGAAAGTCTTTATAAGGGCTGGGGATTTCCTGTTTCACAGTGCATCTCAAATGTCCCCACAGAGTACTCTGTAACACAACATACTTGTGCACTTCATAAAACAAAAGACCCTCTTGCTTTTGTTCAATCTCAGTCAAAACAACCCCTTAGGTTAGATTAATTAATTAGTCCTAACCTAAGTCTTGCATACTATGGGAGACAGTTTCGTAACAATGACAGTTCATGGGAGGGTGTGCATCCAAACCCATCCATACTACAATAGCAGACCTGAGACGAGCTGCTCCATATGAACAGTGGCAGCCAACTGGCCCGGCATGGCTACCAGTGTAAAACTAAATGATCCATAGAGCAAACAATGAGGCTGTGAAAGCAGTGGAATGCTCATTGGGCTCCGCGGTTCACTGTGAGGGGCATGTAGCTAGTACGGCCGTGTGTGTGCTGCTCTGACAGAAAGAGAGAATGTGTGCAAGTGTAAGAACAGCAAGAAAGAGAGAGGGAGTGTGTGCACAAGGAAGAGAGAGAGAGAAACTAAACAGCAACAGAGCAAGAGCACACAAAAATGAGAGAATGAGGGAAAGAAAGAGGGGAAACAAACATGAGAGCTGAGAGAGAGAACAATAGAGAGAGCTGAGAGAGAGCGAGAGAAAGAGCTGAGCGAGAGAAAGAGCTGAGAGAAAGAGAGAGAGCTGAGAGAAAGAGCTGAGAGAGAGAACGAGCTGAGCGAGAGAAAGAGCTGAGCGAAAGAGAGAGAGCTGAGAGAGAAAGAGCTGAGAGAAAGAGAGAGAGAGAGAAAGAGCGAGAAAGAGCGAGAGAAAGAGCTGAGAGACAGAAAGAGCTGAGAGAGAAAGAGCGAGAGAGAAAGAGCGAGAGAGCTGAGAGAGAAAGAGCGAGAAAGAGAGAGCGAGAAAGAGCGAGAGAGAGCGAGAGGCCAAGATGTGTAGAGAGAGAGGGCCAGTAAGCCCAACATGCCAGGCATCCCAGGAATTCACCTTTAGGAATAAAGGCAGCATTGGTCCATTGGCTGCAGGAATTTGGACGAGAGGCAGCCAAACTAAGAGCTAATCCTTGGGTACGAGCCACCACCATCCCCCCTGGACTCACCACAACTCTACTGGGTACGAGCCACCACCATCCCCCCTGGACTCACCACAACTCTACTGCAACGAGTGTATGATGCCTCAACTGCAACGGAGCGAGACCAGCACCTAAAGGCGACCTCAGCGGAAGGTGTGTGTGTGTCTGTGTGAGAAGCAGGGCCACTGCTTCTTAATGGTCCACAGCTCCAGCTTTAAGTTAGGTTCTATGAAACAGTGTACTCTAGCGGTGCAAGTATGCACCAGCCACTTCAGGCTACACTCTTCCTCTGGGTAACAGTCATGCTAGGCTAGCTCAAGAAAGGGACTGGGTAACAGAGTCATGTAGGCTAGCTCAAGAAAGGGACTGGGTAACAGAGTCATGTAGGCTAGCTCAAGAAAGGGACTGGGTAACAGAGTCATGTAGGCTAGCTCAAGAAAGGGACTGGGTAACAGAGTCATGTAGGCTAGCTCAAGAAAGGGACTGGGTAACAGAGTCATGTAGGCTAGCTCAAGAAAAGGACTGGGTAACAGAGTCATGTAGGCTAGCTCAAGAAAGGGACTGGGTAACAAAGTCATGTAGGCTAGCTCAAGAAAAGGACTGGGTAACAAAGTCATGTAGGCTAGCTCAAGAAAAGGACTGGGTAACAAAGTCATGTAGGCTAGCTCAAGAAAAGGACTGGGTAACAGAGTCATGTAGGCTAGCTCAAGAAAAGGACTGGGTAACAGAGTCATGTAGGCTAGCTCAAGAAAAGGAATGGGTAACAAAGTCATGTAGGCTAGCTCAAGAAAAGGACTGGGTAACAGAGTCATGTAGGCTAGCTCAGGAAGCTTTTAAACTAAATCCAACTCATTATACAGAGGAGTAGCTGGAGCATGGTGACAGTGACTGTTCCACTGTTACTGCTCAGCTTGGTCTCTCTCTCCCTAGAGCACCATGTGCATGTCTGTTTCCACTTAGGGGCGGGGCAGGCTAGGGTTTTCCACATCACACGGAACAGATAGCCAGGCTAACCAGCAGCGTTCCTCTGAAGGGCATGGGGAGAGTCTGCTCTGGTGTCCCCATAAGAACACAGGCAGAGAAGTCACCACTAACCTCCTAACGTTTACAGAGGATTGGGGCTAGGGTGATCCGTCTCAGCATAGGAGTGCTGATCTAGGATCAGTTTAGCCTTTTAGATCATAATGAATAAGATTACATGGACGGGGGGGGGCTAATACTAGATCAGCGCTCCTACTCTGAGACAGTTCATACAGACGGCCCCTGATCCTAGGTCTGTGGTTGGACAACATGTTACCTCTAGTTTAGTCTGGATTTACTTTCTTGCTAACCCCAGAGGCTAGAGACTAGCATCATGTAAAAACAGCAATGCTACAAATATCTCCGAAACCTCTCCAAGGAGCTATGCAGAAGTCTATGCTACAAGGATAGGTCCCTTAGTTCTATTTGCTGCAAAACAAAATGTCCATTGGGAAAATTAAGATCTTGCTGTACTCTACTTCTTTGATGCAAGAGGATTCACATCCTAATGAGAAGTTGAAAGTGCTATGGTTAGGATAGAAGAGTGGTTAGGAGAGAAGAGAAACCTCATGGTCCTGCTTGAAATGTCAGGTGATGACACTGCATATCTTTCATTATATATTTTCTGTGAAGATTTGTGAGAAGTTTTATCAACGAGGCATGAGGACTCACCAGTCCTAACTACTATGCGACCTCTCAACCTACCTCTACATGGGTCCTTCGTACACCATCTTCATGCTTTGCTTGCAACAACAGTTACGTTTCACGAGAGATCCAAATTAAGTATGCTTCATGATCCACACGGAGCATTCAAGTGTAGGTGTGTAAGTATATGAGTGTCTGTGTGGGCCTGTCTGTGTGTGTACGCGTGTGCCGTTGTACCCACCTCAGCGGCTCCCTCAGCAGCTTTCTTCATGCCCCAGCCATCATTGGCCCAGCGCTCGGCCGTGTGCCGCTCGTTGGAGATGAAGAAGTTATCAAAGAAGATGTCGCTGGACATGGACCACAGCTCCAGGCCCACGGCGATGAAGGGGGTCATCCTGAAGGGATGGAGGTCCTCGAAGAAGTCCGGGTTGGCGATCTTCCTGGGCTTCCACACACCCTGGGGGACGAGAGGCGCAGACAGGACAGTGAGTGGGAGGTACATTGAGAGTAGTACTCTGAGAGTTACATTTATATACAATTATTTTAGGGTTATGAGAGCCATTTGTAAGTACAAGTACGTACATTGGGATTTGTCTGCAACGAGAGCTCAGTAGTAAAAAAGGGTAGAAGGACATTTTTTAACACACAAGAACAGAAAATACAAAGTTACTATGCAAGAGAAGAATACGTGCAAGTACAAATAGTAAGCTCTCATCAATACATACAAATAGTAAGCTCTCATCAATACATACACTACATGACCAAAAGTATGTGGACACCTTCTCTTTGAACATCTCATTCCAAAATCATGGGCATTAATATGGAGTTGGTCCCCCCCTTTGCTGCTATAACAGCCTCCACTCTTCTGGGAAGGCTTTCCACTAGATGTTGAAACATTGCTACGGGGACTTGCTTCCATTCAGCCACAAGAGCATTAGTGAGGTCGGGCACTGATGTTGGGTGATTAGGTCTGGCTCGCAGTCGGACTTCCAATTCATCCCAAAGGTGTTCGATGGGGTTGAGGTCAGGGCTCTGTGCCGGCCAGTCAAGTTCTTCCACACCAATCTTGACAAACCATTTCTGTATGGAACTCGCTTTGTGCACAGGGGCATTGTCATGCTGAAACAGGAAATGTTGCCACAAAGTTGGAAGCACAGAATTGCCTATTTGTATGCAGATTTGTCCGTCGGACTGCCAGATGGTGAAGTGTGATTGATCACTCCAGAGATCGCGTTTCCACTGCTCCAGAGTTCAATGGCGGCGAGCTTTACACCACTCCATCCAACACTTGGCATTATGCATGGTGATCTCAGGCTTGTGTGCGGCTGCTCGGCCATGGAAAACCATTTCATGAAGCTCCCGACGAACAGTTATTCTGCTGACGTTGCTTCCAGTGGCAGTTTGGAACTCGGTAGTGAGTGTTGCAACCGAGGACAGACGATTTTTACGCTCTACGCGCTTCAGCACTCAGCGGTCCCGTTCTGTGAGCTTGTGTGGCCTACCACTTCGCAGCTGAGCCATTGGTACTCCTACATGTTTCCACTTCATAGCAGCACTTACAGTTGACCGGGGCAGCTCTAGCAGGGCAGAAATTTGACAAACTGACTTGTTGAAAAGCTGTTATCCTATGACGGTGCCACGTTAAAAGTCACTGAGCTCTTCATTAAGGCCATTCTACTGCCAATGTCTGTCTATGGAGATTTCATGGCTGTGTGCTCGATTTTATTCACCTGTCAGCAACGGGTGTGGCTGAAATAACAGAATCCACTAATTTGAAGGGGTTTCCACATACTTTTGTAGATATAGTGTACAAATAGAAGGCAAATTCTGAAAGAGCAAGTGCAACTTGTGTGTATGTTATTTAGGCAACACACTTCACTGGGGTAAAACTGGTTCCTAAAGAGGCTGATGCTTTGGTGTGGCTGGGAGATGTGAAGGGTTACCTGGTAGTTGGGATTGTCGATCATGGGGGCCTTCCACTTGCCCTTGTAGTTGGGGTTGTCAATCATGGGCCGTTGCCAGGCGCCACAGCCGGGGGCGGTCTCACAGAGGGCGTTAGGGACCTGAGGGGCCTCCCACTCCCCATCCATATCCTCATCCCTGGAGAAAAATAAAAGAGAAAGTTACGAAAACATCACAGAGCACATTGTAAGACAAACGCAGTCATACAGGGCACAAAATGATATACGGTTGCAAGTTACTGTGTGTGTGAGAAAGCAAAAGAACAAAAGAGAAAGAAAAATAAGCTCCCAGTGAGACAAAGACAAGACAGATTGCATTTAGAGGCCCTCTAAAAGGGGTCATTAGCCAGTATCTCCACATTGGTCTCCTCCCTCTTTCCCTCTATCCACTGTGTCCCGTTCCTCTAGCTCTTCTCTACCGGCTCTAATTTAATTTCCGCCACAGAAGTGAGACATCAAAGACAGTGAAAAAATGAGCTCTTCAAAGCCCAAAAACCAGGCCTGGCTGTCCTGAGGCAAAGCTCCTCTCACCAGGAAGCCAACTCTCTTCACAGAGAAGAGGAGCTGCTGCCGCAAACGCTAGCAATTAGCTTCCAACACACAAGTGGGCTGACCCAGATGAGGATACACCATGAGTGGAGAGAGAAGACAGAGGGGAGGTAGCAGAGTGGTAGATGAAGGGGAGAGAGAAGACATAGGGGAGGTAGCAGAGTGGTAGATGAAGGGGAAAGAGAAGACAGAGGGGAGGTAGCAGAGTGGTAGATGAAGGGGAGAGAGAAGACAGAGGGGAGGTAGCAGAGTGGTAGATGAAGGGGAAAGAGAAGACAGAGGGGAGGTAGCAGAGTGGTAGATGAAGGGGAGAGAGAAGACAGAGGGGAGGTAGCAGAGTGGTAGATGAAGGGGAAAGAGAAGACAGAGGGGAGGTAGCAGAGTGGTAGATGAAGGGGAGAGAGAAGACAGAGGGGAGGTAGCAGAGTGGTCGATGAAGGGGAGCGAGAAGAGTGGCAGAAGAGGGTGTAGAGAGGAGAGGGACAGCAGTTTGAGAGAGTAGCATGGAAGCGGGGGTGAGCTGAAAGAGAGTGTAAAGGTATGGTAGTTACCAGTCCTCAGGCTTTACTGCGTCGGGGTCACTGGTGTACTCTGGCTGATCGTCCAGCCAACCGTCTGGCTTCACTGCATCTTCATCTGGGATCTGTTTTGGTGCATCCTCATCCCTATGGGACAGGGGAGGGAGTTAGAGGGTACACACAAACACAGAACCCCACACTAACACAGAACCCTGCACTAACACAGAACCCCGCACTAACACAGAACCCCGCACTAACACAGAACCCCGCACTAACACAGAACCCCACACTAACACAGAACCCCACACTAACACAGAACCCCACACTAACACAGAACCCCGCACTAACACAGAACCCCGCACTAACACAGAATCCCGCACTAACACCCGCACTAACACAGAACCCCGCACTAAAGACAGAACCCCGCACTAAAGACAGAACCCCGCACTAAACACAGAACCCCACACTAAACACAGAACCCCACACTAAACACAGATACACACACCTGGCACAAACATAAAACTGTCCACAGGAGAGACACACACACACTATCCCATGTCAAAACAACCCCAACTACATTTGAAATATGTATGCACACGCTGTGTAACTTAAAACATGTAAGCTAACCTGTTGAAATAGCCTCTCTCTCACACACCCACACAAACACTCATGTGCCCACCCAAACACACCCACAGGCCCTTACCAGTCCTCAGGTTTGACAGCATCAGGGTCCTGGATCTTGGGCCTCTCGTCCCAGTCCTCTGGCTTGTGGTCATCGGGGTCCTCGATCTCGGCGGCAGGGTTGATGGGTGGGGTCACATCTGTCAGCAGGTTACCACTGTTCACAACCGTCTGGTCTACAAGCACCTCAAAGCTGTTGTCTGGGTTCAACACTAGGGGGCAGGAGAGAGATGGTTAGAGGAATAAGTAGAAACGTAAGAAGAAGAGCTAACACACTTCCCTAATCTAACTGGCATATGATCATGTGTTCTACGTTCTATGTGATCGTTATGTGACATTGCACCAGTTACAACAGCAGGGATACATAACGGGTGCCTGAGAACATGTTGAAATGTCATACCCAGTGTGTAAAGGTGGGTCTTCTTGTCGGTGTAGTAGGTGCGCAGGTCTGCGTCGGGTTTCTTGGCGTGCTTCTCCTCATACTCGCCAGTCTTTGGGTTCTTGTGGCGGAAGATGAAGTGCAGCTTGTAGTCCTCGCCACACTTGTCTGGTCCGAACATGATGGTGTAGGGAGTCTTGTCAACAAACTCATCCTGGTGGGAAGGACAAATATACATTTACTGTGGCTCTGTACTAGAACATTATGGAATGTGTAACTGGCTACTGGATTTCCAGGGCATCTACATGGGTACATTTGATACATAAACAGAGCACTTTTGAGAGGTTATGCCATTTTGTCGATTTATTTTGTGTTTTCCGAGAGCGTCTTAGATTACATGGTGCAGGCACAGATAGAACAATGAGCCAGATATTTCACCGGATGTATAAATGTGAAGCATCCGCTTGCCGTTTCCACTCACTACCAAATATGGGGGTGAGAGGAAGCCCAGTGGCCGGCAGTGGGAGAAGATGGAGTTTGGCCGATATTCAGCAAATTTTCTCATCAACAAAACATTTGATCTCAATACAGTTTCCTGTTTCCAAAACTAGAATGTATCGAACATTATTTTTTTATATTGGTTTTTAGAAAGAGTCCAAGGGTAAAGGGTTATTGCACAGGCACTTCACAAAGTAGGTGTTCCCTAACGAAAATATGCAAATACATGCTAGAACACACCAATAAGATCTCGCTAGCTCGTGCTTGGCTTTGTCCCCCTCCTTGCTTGTTCTACCCACTATGACTAACTTGTTCCCATTGGAAATGACAGGCTGTGGTCTAGCTAGGGTTAGTTATAAAAATCTTTGGTGCAGGTGTGTGCCTTACCAGGTTGAGGTGTGGGGTCTGGGAGAGCAGTTTGACGTAGGCACCACCACAGTCGATCCCCTGCTGGAAGTTGACCTCATACTGGACGATGAGGGGTTTGGTGTCAAAGATGAAGGGCCTGAGGAGCTGGGCTGAGATGGCGTGGTGCTTAGCACGGGACTTGAGGACCAGGCCCTTGTCTCCGGGCAGCTTGCTGTCCTTCATGTCCTCCACCTCCCATTTACCTGCAAGACGGAGTTAAAATACGTGAGTGTACTCACTTGATAACTGCCTGAATGGAGCCAAACCTAGGTTGTATTCATTAGGCTCCAAACACTAATTTTAGTTTTTCGTTTGCAAAATGATTTGCTATGTTGTGCCCTACTTAATACAATGTGTCAGAGACGGGGCCTAAAATGAACACCCACCACCCACCAAATGCAGGTAGATTTTAGCATTGCCGTGTAAGAATATCTAATTCACCAGCCATGTTGGCGGGTGGTCACACTTGGGGCTCTACAGTGCGAGCATTTTGTATAAAAATAGTCATAAGTTAAGTACAGGCACGTGGGAGTTGTGATTTATAGCTAAATAAATGCTGCAGTAGCGGTTTTCAAAGTATTTCCGCTGTTTTGTTTCATATCTGGTAATGCACAAAGAAATGAGAATCCTAACGTTATAGCTATACCACCTGGCTGGGGGGCTGTTCGCACTGTGAGTGAAGTGCTAAAAGCTTTTAGAAGCAATCCACACAGGCATAAAACTTGGTCTAACTACTAAAGTAAGAATTTATCCTTGTGTTTCTTGGATATTTACATTGTTTTGTTCACAAATTAGGTTGTTTTCAATGTTTGAGTTTGCTTCCACTGCTAGTGAAGAGGAGACATCGGTCTCTACTAGTCAGATTCTCACAGGCACACCTGATGACTCCAGTGGGCCCGTTACCACAGTAACCTTAAAAGGGGCAGCTGAAAATGTCTCTCTCGTCTGATATTTTGGTTAAAAGACTCAGTTCACAACATATTAAATATATCACATTCCAGCTTACTAGTAATACATTCCTTGATTTAGAAACATTACAAAGCATGCTCAATCACAAAAAAACAGCAGTTTTGAGTTTTTTGGTGTAATTAATGTGGCTGCCAGTGGCAACTAGACTAAAAAGTTAGTTTAAGACCCTGGTCAGAGAGGACCTGTCTTAGTGCCTACCATCATACTTGGCGATATCCTCATCAATATCCTCCTTCTTGGCCTTTGACAGGACCCAGCTGAAACAAACAGGAGAAGCAAATTGACTTCAGTCAAGTAAACATGGTAGCACCAGGACACCATAGGGACAGACCCCGGGGGAATATTTATTTATCCTTAGGTTCGTATTTATCCTTAGAGAAAGTCAAATTGCAGCTGGTCCTATAGTGAGCACTCACACAGCACAGTATGGCACATGAAGAGAATAGACAAAATGCAGTTTATAACACCCATGTTGTTTCAGGGCAGCATACAGTGGGGGAAAAAAGTATTTAGTCAGCCACCAATTGTGCAAGTTCTCCCACTTAAAAAGATGAGAGGCCTGTAATTTCCGTCATACGTACACGTCAACTATGACAGACAAATTGAGGAAAGAAATTCCAGAAAATCACATTGTAGGATTTTTAATGAATTTATTTGCAAATTATGGTGGAAAATAAGTATTTGGTCACCTACAAACAAGCAAGATTTCTGGCTCTCACAGACCTGTAACTTCTTCTTTAAGAGGCTCCTCTGTCCTCCACTTGTTACCTGTATTAATGGCACCTGTTTGAACTTGTTATCAGTATAAAAGACACCTGTCCACAACCTCAAACAGTCACACTCCAAACTCCACTATGGCCAAGACCAAAGAGCTGTCAAAGGACACCAGAAACAAAATTGTAGACCTGCACCAGGCTGGGAAGACTGAATCTGCAATAGGTAAGCAGCTTGGTTTGAAGAAATCAACTGTGGGAGCAATTATTAGGAAATGGAAGACATACAAGACCACTGATAATCTCCCTCGATCTGGGGCTCCACGCAAGATCTCACCCCGTGGGGTCAAAATGATCACAAGAACGGTGAGCAAAAATCCCAGAACAACACAGGGGGACCTAGTGAATGACCTGCAGAGAGCTGGGACCAAAGTAACAAAGCCTACCATCAGTAACACACTACGCCGCCAGGGACTCAAATCCTGCAGTGCCAGACGTGTCCCCCTGCTTAAGCCAGTACATGTCCAGGCCCGTCTGAAGTTTGCTAGAGTGCATTTGGATGATCCAGAAGAGGATTGGGAGAATGTCATATGGTCAGATGAAACCAAAATAGAACTTTTTGGTAAAAACTCAACTCGTCGTGTTTGGAGGACAAAGAATGCTGAGTTGCATCCAAAGAACACCATACCTACTGTGAAGCATGGGGGTGGAAACATCATGCTTTGGGGCTGTTTTTCTGCAAAGGGACCAGGACGACTGATCCGTGTAAAGGAAAGAATGAATGGGGCCATGTATCGTGAGATTTTGAGTGAAAACCTCCTTCCATCAGCAAGGGCATTGAAGATGAAACGTGGCTGGGTCTTTCAGCATGACAATGATCCCAAACACACTGCCCGGGCAACGAAGGAGTGGCTTCGTAAGAAGCATTTCAAGGTCCTGGAGTGGCCTAGCCAGTCTCCAGATCTCAACCCCATAGAAAATCTTTGGAGGGAGTTGAAAGTCCGTGTTGCCCAGCGACAGCCCCAAAACATCACTGCTCTAGAGGAGATCTGCATGGAGGAATGGGCCAAAATACCAGCAACAGTGTGTGAAAACCTTGTGAAGACTTACAGAAAACGTTTGACCTGTGTCATTGCCAACAAAGGGTATATAACAAAGTATTGAGAAACTTTTGTTATTGACCAAATAATTATTTTCCACCATAATTTGCAAATAAATTCATAAAAAATCCTACAATGTGATTTTCTGGATTTTTTTTCTCATTTTGTCTGTCATAGTTGACGTGTACCTATGATGAGAATTACAGGCCTCTCTCATCTTTTTAAGTGGGAGAACTTGCACAATTGGTGGCTGACTAAATACTTTTTTCCCCCACTGTATATGAATATATTTTCCTTGATGTACATGTAATTTTCATTACAAATGACTATATAATAATAATACCTGCGTTTAACAGCACTGTTTCTAATTTTAACGAGTGCTCACCTGTCTAGGGTCCCCCTGTCAAAGGACTCGGCGAAGAAGTGTTCCCCCATGGGCTCGGGAGCTTTGTAGATCACCTAGAGAGGAGAGCAGAGAGGGGTCAGTGGGTCACCTCTTCCACTGCTTGGCTCCAGTTAGCAGGTGTTTTGTGTGCCAATCCGTTACGCGTGTGTGTGTCCTATGCAAGAGCAATGGGAGGACATAGGTCGGTCAGATAGCAAACTTTCAAGTCACATTGCTAGTCAATGTATCACCTCAGAGTTTCATTTAAATACCTCCACTGAAGTTAGGCTAGTCAGAGATATTCACCGCTGGAAACATCTCATCACTCTGGCGTTAGCCATATCCTTTATGTAGAAACAGGGCCTAAAATGAACACCCGCCACCTGCCAAATGCGAGTAGATTTTGGCATTGGCGGGTAAGATGTCCATTTCACCAGCCACATTGGCTGGGCTCCACAGTGCGAGCATTTCACTCGCATGTGTGAATAAAAATAATCAAGTATGATCACATTTATAGTCAAATTCTGCAGAAGCTGTTTTCAAAGTATTTCTGCTATTTTGTTAGCTGGTAAATGAATAGCACAAAGTCAAAGAACTATGAATCCTATATAGCCTATTCCACCTTGCACTGCAACACAGCCTGGCTGGGGGCTGTGCGCACGTGAAGAGCTGAGTGAAAGATTCATTTTTATAAGCTCTGTGCACAGGCAAAAGTTGGTCTAATTTACTTGAAACGAAAGTCTACTGAAATGAGACTGTCTTTGTGTTTCTTGGCTATTTACATAGTTTTGTTCACAAGCTAGGTTGTTTTTCTATGTTTGAGCTTCAACTGCTAGGGAAGAGAAGACAACGCTTCTAGTAGTCAGACTCAATCTCACAGGCACAAACATGACTGGAGTCACGCTACCACGGTAACCACCCGCCCTTAAAGGGGCAGGTGAACATTTTGTCTCATCTGTGATATTTTGGTTAATAGACTCACGTCACAAAAAATAATAATAATAGTAATTTTAGCAGGGGGGAAATGATTTTGTCTGGTAAAAAATCTGATTGGCTGGTAGATTTTAAAACCTTCCTGCCAGTGGCTGGAGGACCAAAAAGTATATTTTATGTCCTGTGTAGAAATATGACATAATTCATGGTAGACACTAACTAGTGGAGAAAACAAGGCCACTAAGGAGTCATAGAACAGGCTTTTTCTCACTATCATTTGTGGTGTTGTGTGAATCACATTAATTCCTTGAAATGAGCTCAAACCTCCCACTCACTCTACAGACCATTCACAATGGACATTTTTACTAGTGAAAATGGGTCGGTTGGTTTGTATCTATGTACAATTGAGGCACTCCCTTTGAGGCGATGCAGAGTATATCCATGCAGTAAACTAAATGATTATCCATTTCTCCTTGAGAGGAACCGTGAGCAGCCATGTAGGCCTAACCTCTTCTCGTTGACTGTCACAATCTGGGTATGCTGGAGGGAAAGAGAGGAGCCACGCTTTCTAACCACTACTGGCATTTTAACCACTAAAACCCTAACTGTATACACACTGATCTAGGTCAATAGGATTGGATACTTACTTTAGGGGCTGGAGGTGGTCCCGTTGGTGTGTCTGCCTCCTCTGGCTCCACCTCCCCGTCCAGAAGCTCCTCCCCAAGGCCCAGGTCCTCCAACTCGTCCTCCACGTCTCCCGCCATCTCCATGATAGGCTCCTCCTCCTCCTGGTGGGCGGCCACTGTGGTCATTAGCAGCGTGGAGCACAGGCCCAAGGTCAGCAGCAGAACACACCTCACATTCAGCTCCATTGTCTAGGGGAGAGGAGAGATCAATTCATAAACTAGGAAAAAATGTGTGCACATTTGCTTCAGCTGTCCAAAAGTGCTTTAATAATAAGAAGTATGGCAGATAACAGTAGTGTCTCGCTGACGCGAGCCTACCAATTGCTTTGGCTAATTAACAGATCCCCACTTCCGGTCTGCGTCTATATTCAGATTCCTAATGTTTCCCCTAGGATTTTTTTCAGAAGTGGCGGCAAGGGTAGCGGGGGTGCATTGATACTAGCGTTAGCGCAATGCCATGCTAGCTGTTCCCCTAGACCCCTCAAACTCAACTCTGGACCTCCAAGTCAGTTCCACTGCATTTTTTCATTGTTCACCTCATCGGGGACTGATTTAGACCTGGGACACCAGGTGGGTGCAATTAATCATCAAGTAGAACAGAAAACCAGCAGGCTCCAGACCTTGTAGGGTAAGAGTTGAATACCCCTGCCACACACTATCCACTTCAAAGCCTGTCTTGGAAGAAATATACATTATTTTGACATACTGATAATGCATTTGGGGGAAACACTGATTCCTACTGAATTCCTTCTTTAGCCATTTCAGCTGTTGCATACAGATTCCTAGCCACCTTACACCGAGGGCTAGGGAGGAGCAGCGGAGCTACAGTATTATTACTTAGTTACACCCATCCATTCCTTTCACATCAAAATGTCTAAACGTTGAGGCTGATTTCAAATGGTGGAAGCTATGGGTAGGGCATGAAAGATGGAGGAAGGGATGTGATGGAAAAAGGAAAATGACAGCTGAGAAAATGCAGCCATTTAATAAAGAGTAAATTAGTGGTTAAACGAGATAAGAAAAGGAAGGAAACGGGAGGGAGAATATGTGCGAGAGAGAGAGACTGGGCTACATGAGACACCAGAAATATGTGGGCGAGTGACAATGCAAGTTAGCATATCGTTGAGCTGGAAAAAAAGGGATACTTCCAGAGCAGGTGGCCAAATTACAGCTTTTTATCCTATTAGAACATAAAAGCCTACCAGAATTGGTGGTCCATGCAGGAATCAAACCCACAACCCTGGTCTTATAAGCACTAAAATTGAAAGTTCCTGGAACCAGAATGGCCATTAATAATACTCCCTCCTAAATTTCAAAAAGTGTTGTCCTTTCCATGCCTACAGAATGAACACACCCTCTGACCGTTTCCAGGCATACGGTCGCCATGCCGTTACCCAGAGCCACCCATTTCCATAGCGACGAGAGGGGTGCCTGAGGGATATGCAGCCTCAGCCTTTCCCCTAATGAGATTAGGCCCAATGAGATTACACTAGCACACCATGTAACACACACATGAAGTTTATACAGTACAAATATTTACCTTTCATATTATTCACAGGCAATTTACTCAACACAATACAAACAATTTAGGAAAGACTGTTCAGACAGACATATGTTCCTTTGACACAGCCCCAAATCAATCCTTAGCCTGCCCTACACATATTTACCTTCCATATTATTCACAGGCAATTTACTCAACACAATACAAACAATTTAGGACAGACTGTACACACAGATATATGTTCCTCCGACACAGTCCCAAATCAACCCTTAGCCTGCCCTACCACCTATCTACTGGAGTGGACTGCACAAGTGTTTAAGCAATATGGCAAATATTCTGCCTAACTATCAGTGTTTCTACAATGTTTCTTAAGGCTAGCACACGTCGCACCGAATGTGGATTGTGTTTTAGGGACCACCCGCTGTAGACTGCCAACGTCTTTCACACAATTCTACATGTAGAATCGGTGCGCACTCGTTTGCAAATTGCGTTCAGAGGTGCTAAGTACTCTATTGCTGTGTCTGAGCCCTTATACCTATCCAATCCTCTCAGTTCTTCACTAGCGCCTAGGGGGAAAGGATTGATTTGGGATTGGGTTTTGTCTTCTCTAAATCAGATAAAGCCAATGAGATTGCAATTTGTGCCCTTATAAATCCACCCTACTCTCACCCCTCGGCATGTTCTGATACCATTAGCCAAATAAGTGGGGCTGGGCACGGAGAGAGGGAGTATGTGAGTGCTATTAGGTCCACCTTACCATCTGCAATACAGTCAACTGATATCTATGTTTTATGACTATAATATAATCTAAAATCAAGTCATAATGCAGAGGGGCCTCACCAAAGTCTAACAACACACTAACCAAAGTTACCAACCGTCTTTTTGTTGTGAGATTACCACCATCTACACACTAGCATGCAATCGCACACTGTACATACCATGTACATAGCTTAACCCCATGTGGTATTAGCATCCGTAGCCACACCGGCTAGCACTTACCATGGCATAGCAGAGTAATGGTGGTAACTAGTCCAGACAGTCTAAGCAAAGTGGTTATTAGGTCAAGATTACCATAATGCACTACTGTCCATACATGGTATTAAGATTAATACTCCAGTACTGCCGTTCTCATCACAATTACAATTTAGTATCTGTATTGAGCTTGTTCTGCAGGTCATAGGGGCATCCTAAAGGCTCGCACACATTGCACCGAATGTGGATCTAGCGTTCATAAGACGATCGTTCAGTGCACCCTTTTTTCAGGACCACCCGCTGTAGACTTGACTGCCAACATTTTTCACCCAATTATACATGTAAAATCAGTGGGCACCCAGTTTGCAAATTACGTTCAGAGGTGCTAAGTACTCTTGGCTAGCAAACGGCTATTGGTGTGTCTGAGCCCTAAGGGACCGTGGTCACTGGAGTAGCTGGACAGAAAGCATTTAAGGTGGGCGTGAGAGAGATACACACCCATCCCACCAGCCAACTCCCATCTGTCCAGAGTGGTAACCAGGGCGCTATCCTCCAAGGGACATGTCACCTCTAGAACCATATCCCTTAAGGAGTGTCCTGAGAGGATAAATCGGGGGAGCTGCAAACACAACCTGTGTGTGTGAACAGCCTGTGAAACAGCTATGCATTAATATCTAGGCTACATTTAGAGCACATTGACAATACACGAGACTAACTTCACATGGTGACCACATAAGACTGCAATGGTTTGAGGTGACGTCAAAATGAGGGGTGTTGTACAAAACAAAGTCAGATATTGGATCATCTCTAACCAATCAGAGTATCATGGCGAATTTTCAAAACACTGCTTTACACACATGTGTTCTGGCTGTGGCCCAACCCATCAGTTTCTGGGACCAATCAGAATGATTAGAATGTGTTTGTGTTCTAAAAATCGTCGGGAGGTACTCAAATCCTGACTCATTGCGGAGAAGAAACCGTTGGCGGGCGTAGGGTTGGGCGATATTTGGGGAGACCTCTTCTACGATATGCTGCTCCCAATATCGCCATACCCGATATAATCATTTTGCGCCATTAATTACTAAATGTTTCCAGACAGTGCCATTTTTGTGCTTATTTACAATATTATAGTCGCATTCTCATTAAATGATCTTCATGTGGTGAAAAAAGAAGGCTTAGTTAATTCATTTTCAACATGTTGATAGAGCCTATCTGATAACTGCACAGTTATTTGTAAATTTCAAATAGAGTATAGACTTACATTTACATTTTAGTCATTTAGCAGACGCTCTTATCCAGAGCGACTTACAGTTAGTGAGTGCATACATTTTCATACTTGCACATCATATATCGTCTTGCACTTCACGATATATCGTCAATGTCAAATATAACGATATTCGATTTAATCAGATATTTCGGCCCTAGTGTGGAGCAAGGAGTTTGGGTAGCCAGGAAACTGCCACGCAGTGCGGTTGTCACTAGTTACCATAGCCACAAAGTTTAAAATTGCCTATATCGTAAAAACACATGAAAACAAAACAAAAATTGTAGAAATAGGCAGGTTTAGGCATAATTATGAATTTGTGGCTGTGGTAACTAGTGATGACCACGCAGTGCCTGAGGAGAAATGAATCTAAAACTTTCCCTTCACAGCTTTTCATACATAGAAGACACACTGTTACCACTTCGCTTTCGCTTGCCAAGAGGGACACCTTCAGGCCCGGTGATAGTCCTGGCGGTGTCTAGGCGACAGCTGGTGTGTTCTCCAATAGAGGACTCTGCCATGCGTCTGTGACTAGAGTGTTTCCCCTGCAACAAGTCAAGCTGCCAACAGAGAGGGGATAACCAGAGGGAAGCTCACCACCAAAGCACCATGCATGTAACTCCTTGATGACCAAGTGAGGGGTTAAGATAAAGGACTTTTGGGGGTTGGTGAGGCAAAGGGGTCATAGTTGACTCGCTAGGCCCACAGTTAGGCCTGGAAGATATGGCCTAAAAATCATAGGCTTGTGAAGTTATACCTAGGCTAAATATAAGCCTTCCACAACCATAAGACCCAATAATAATGTAATTATTTTATCAAAATAGTTTAACCTGCTTTTTTTGGCATTAAAAACTGATCTGGCTTGCAAGTCTATGAAAATACCCCTTTTTGTTACAAATTTAACTAGAACCATGCATAATGCACATTCACTAATAATCACTAACTTCTCATAGCAGGCATTAGGCTATAGAAAATTAACACAGGTCTAATCAACAATCTCGAAAAGCCCACGTGATAGTGATTAGCCAGCTAATCTTTATATTTCCAGTTTAGCCAACTTGGATCTATTTGCTAGCTAACAAGGTTGAACAGTTGCATTGTTATGAACACACCCTTCTGTCTGTTTCAAACTGTTTGAAAAGCATGTTAGCCTGGCCACTTTGTTTAGATGTTGAAATGAAGTGGCCTAGACTTATATATAGAAAAGTATGTGGACACCCCTTCAAATTTGTGGATTTTGCTATTTTAGCCACACCTGTTGCTGACAGGTGAATAAAATCGAGCACACAGCCATGCAATCTCCATAGACAAACATTGGCAGTAGAATGGCCTTACTGAAGAGCTCAGTGACTTTCAACATGGCACCGTCATAGGATGCCACCTTTCCAACAAGTCAGTTTGTCAAATTTCTGCCCTGCTAGAGCTGCCCCGGTCAACTGTAAGTGCTGTTATTGTGAAGTGGAAAGGTCTAGGAGCAACAACGGCTCAGCCGCGAAGTGGTAGGCCACACAAGCTCACAGAACCGCGTAAAAATTGTCTGTCCTCGATTGCAACACTCACTACCGAGTTCCAAACTGCCTCTGGAAGCAACGTCAGCACATGAACTGTTCGTCGGGAGCTTCAAGAAATGGGTTTCCATGGCCAAGCAGCAACATACAAGCCTAAGATCACCATGCACAATGCCAAGCGTCGGCTGGAGTGGTGTAAACCTCACCAACATTGGACTCTGGAGCAGTGGAAATGTGTTCTCTGGAGTGATGAATCACGCTTCACCATCTGGCAGGCGGACAAATCTGGGTTTGGCGGATGCCAGGAGAACGCTACTATAGTGCCAACTGTAAAGTTTGGTGGAGGAGGAATAATGGTCTGGGGCTGTTTTTCATGGTTCGGCCTAGGCCCATTAGTTCCAGTGAAGGGAAATCTTAACACTACAGCATACAAATAGGCAATTCTATGCTTCCAACATTTTGGGGAAGGCCCTTTCCTGTTTCAGCATGACAATGCCCCCGTGCACAAAGCGAGGTCCATAGAGAAATGGTTTGTCAAGATAGGTATGGAAGAACTTGACTGGCCTGCACAGAGCCCTGGTCTCAATCCCATTGAACACCTTTGGGATGAATTGGAACGGCCACTGTGAGCCAGGCCTAATCACCCAACATCAGTGCCCGCTTGTGGCTGAATGGAAGCAAGTCCTCACAGCAATGTTCCAACATCTAGTGGAAAGCCTTCCCAGAAGAGTGGAGGCTGTTATAGCAGCAAAGGGGGGGACTAACTCCATATTAATGTCCATGATTTTGGAATGAGATGTTTGACGAGCATGTGTCCACATACTTTTGGTCATGCAGTGTACCTTATTTCTCAGAATGAGAACGAGTTGCCAATTCCTTATATGACTGTGTTTTATGCTAATTGCACATTTATAAAACACAGACTAGACAGGTAGTATAACAGTCTTTGGCTAAAATGCTGCTAGCGGTACGTGGTACCCTAATGCCGCGAGCTACAAACTGAGAATTGATTTTCCAGAATCAATGTCCATTGATACTCTTGTTTTAGTAGTGTCTGCTCTGAGCACAATTTGAGTAGTTGAGACACAAAAAGGGTATCGTCAGAAAAGTTAACTTCTCCTCTATTACAGTAGAATAATGTCTCAATGTGTTTTGGTGTCCATATGACCGATTCTGTTGGACCAAACCTCTAATAGCAGAGAGAAGATGTGATTTCTCAACTTTGTTGGCATGAGAGGTAGGGGGAGGGGCTTGGTGTGTGGGTAAACCATAAAGCCTGCCTTCCCGACTTCGGGACAACGACTCACATTGTTAGGGCGGAGACGTGCATCTCATCTTCATTATATTCAGATCTCTGGTGTAAATGGGAAGGCGCACACAGCAGCGAAAGAGACGAGGCCAAAAATACAACATGAGAACAAGCAGACAAACACTCATAAAAATAACAAAACCTTGATTCTTGTGATACAGGCATTTGGAATATCACGCAAAAACATTAATTTGATATATTGCCAGCCCTACCCACAGTCTCTCTGTTTTGGGGGACACAGGAGCTTGAAGGGTGCCTGCTGCCTGGCGGGCTAGGGCAGATGCGTTTTGTGGGCCAGGGGTGGGTGGGCCGGAAGGATAAACGTGAGAGTAGTGCCAAATGTAACTTTCTCATCACAGGCTGAAAACATCATGGGGGCAAACAAAACACCACACACAGGAGGGGAGACAGGGGAGCCCCTGGCTGTGCTGCCAAGTGGAGCCCCTTCCCCCATTCACATCATGCCTCAGCGGTCACATGTCCTAGTGAGGGACAGAGCAAATACAAGGAGGGGGAGGGGACTGTAGACTAATCAATCAGCGCTCAAGCAACACAGCAAAGAGTATTATCTGCCTGCCAGTCTTCTGAATTCATTCCATCCAGGTCACTCTGTATTTGGGGAAAACAGTGCCGTCTTCTAATGCTGAGGTCATATGGTTTACTCAGTGTATACCGTCGAAGTAGGAGACATCTTGCGCAAGATGTCAAACAGTGCTTTCACAGTGTGTCCCCTCATGGATAAGAAACATGCAGCCTCCGATACTGGAAAGCCTACTCTGTGCTATGAAGCCCAGTCTAGGTCATACAGTAGGGATCTGAGTAGGGGTGTGTCATGGGTTTAAGCAGATAGGATAAGGACCCCCATGTGCCTTGACCATCTCAAAAAGAGAATGGAAGATGTAAGACCACCAAATAAAAGCTAATATTATATTTTGAAGCATGTGTATCAGTCTATTGTACCATTCAATGTTAGTTACTAGATTAGGTCAACAAGAGAGTGGATTTTAAATGCAATTACCTTGTTAATGTCTAATCTTAAAATCTAACAGCTCTTTGTGTGCCCATAAATACTACCCACCAGAGAACTGATAAGTTATTATTTAACCAGGGTAAACAATGAATGTACAACTTCCTACGCACATTCAGAGAAATTCATAATTTACATTCATCCCTAGAAGATGAATTACATTTCTCACGGTAGCTAGCTAGAAATGTGTCAACCATTCAATAAGACACACACCAATTCTAGCTTTGGGACACAACATCGGGGTCTGTATTGGTTGGACTCCCTGAGTTTCCTGTCAATAAAGGCATATGGATAATCTCTAGGAACTCGATTTACCAGATATGTGTAGTGTCCCTCGCTATCAAATAAGCGTCTGAATCCAATTTTTGTACGAACTGTACCATATTCCTGCAGTTAGACAGCGGGCTGCCATTAGACCACGCACAGCAGGAATATGGTGTGGTTCGGACAAAAGTTGGATTCAGACATTTATTTGATAGCGAGGGAAACATTTCACTTTACGTCTGTTAAGTAGAGTTCCTAGAGATTATACTTACGCCTTTGTTGGCAGGGAAATGTTTTTTGGGGGGTGAAGCTGGCTATGTTGCGGTAGGGATATTTTCGTCGCCAGCCACAAGAACGACGCACAACTCAGGAAGTCAAACCAATACGAAGACTCCTGACCAATTCCCTTATTCGGGTAAGCAAAATGTAAAAAACACATTTCCAAGAGGGCGCTGCATGACCTCTATCTAGCTGTTGCATTTTCCGGTTTCTTTCAGTGGCGGAACAGGGTTTGTAAAACTGGTCAGACTTCTGCGTGCTTCACCAGTAACACCCGTTCCCATGGTAGAACAGGGGTAACAAGGTTTTCCTATAAAACATGTAGCAATTCCTACAAGCAGGCTTCATGTAGCGCCTACGGAAAATTCTTTCAGATATAAGAAATGTATCTGTAGCTAGCTACTCATCTTGATAACCCCCTTTTGAAGTGAGTATGCTAATGTCACCCACTATATCCAAAACAGGAAAAGCGATTACAATGACCAAACGAAAAGAAAGTTACATAATTAGGGCAGAATACTTATCACGAGTCCATTCGTTTACTTGTGAACTAGATTTAAATAGCAATGGCAAATTAATCACAATATATTTGTTTCGCACAATGGCACACATTGCTGCATCACCACATTTCTTACCGATTTCTTTCTAATGTTAGTCAACTATAATATACCTACGTAATGTTTGATACAAAAACGTTCCGATATTTTCACAGCAAGGCAATATGTCAATGTCCTTGCTTTAACTCGAGGCTGGTATTGCTTGCTAGGTGGTCCTCTGTAGCTCAATTGGTAGAGCATGGCGCTTGTAACGCCAGGGTAGTGGGTTCGATCCCCGGGACCACCCATATGTAAAAATGTATGCACACATGACTGTAAGTCGCTTTGGATAAAAGCGTCTGCTAAATGGCATATTATTATTATTATATCCACGTTCGATGCCTCAACGTCCCATCCCATGTAGCCTATTTAGCTAACGTTACCTAAATGACAAACACTTCCAACATGTCTCACACTGCGAAACCGTCGGCAAAATGGACACACGAGCTAAGTGTGCAACTGACAGTGTTATATGACAATATACGGAACAATTACGTTAATTTGTTATCTTAATTGCAAACCAAGTTAGCTAGCCTTGCTAGCTGGCCGTCAGCTAGCCAGTCCATGCTAAGACCACGCATGGGTTCTTGATCTTATTCAGTAAGATAAATGTATTGCAATTAAACGATACTGGCCTGTATGCATGCAGCTGAACATGCTATGTCAATTTAAACTGAAATTATAGTTTAGCGATGTATGTTTGTAAAAAGTGACATTTGTTCGTCATTACTTACCTCCTGATTCCGATGTGACCACTTTGAACTACAGCCGGATCACGTGTGACTTTGGGGCATGCACACTGGATTAGTAGCACCACCTTCCCCACTTGCTGATTGGTTACTGACTTTAACATTTTGATATTTTCCGGCAATTATAGTTATTTGATTGCTTGTGCAACACGTCCATCACAATGAATGGTCTCCGCCCCCAAACTCAACCTCGTGGACGGCGATGATTTGTCCAGCTGTAAGAGGAAATGCATGCTGATTGGTTATAGTAAGACAAGGCTCAAATATAAATTTGTAGCAGTGACAATGATTGATGATTTTTGAAGTTTATCATCAATTAATGATTTATGTACTTTGTGAAGTTAGCTACAGCTGGAGCAAAGTAAAAGGAGAGGTTCGAGTAAAATAGTAAAACACTTTGCAAATTAATTGATCAACTAAAGCACCGATTTGATCATTCTGAATGTGAGGTTTATTGAATATGGTGTAGGCTGATCCAATAATGTACAATATAAATTAAATCCCTGTTGATGGATGCATTCATTTGGATGCAGTATTTTTTTTCTGATCATAAACAACAACAAATGAATATTGCATGCCCCCATCCAAATTTGGGGGTGTTTGAACCCCATAATAATGGACTGGATTTATGTAGTGCTTTTACATGTGCTCAAAGCGCTTTATATTGTATGGATGATCACGTTTGAAAATTAATGCTGTATTCTATACATCCTGTTTTTCTGAAGTGCCCTGACTGTATGCTGCTAAATGAAAATATCAAATAGCCTACCCTACAATATTATCACAAAAGATTATGGCCTAGATTCATTCAATCCGACCCACGAAAAGACCGGATATAGCGCAATGGACATTTAAAGGTAATTTTCCGATTGAGCCGACATAGTTTATGCAGCGTTTAGCGTGAATGCGGACATTGCCTTTCAAAGTTACATAGCATAAAAGGGGCACTCGAATTGAATCTAGGCCAATGTCATAACTACACATAGGCCTACTCTCTTGCATCCTACGGAGCACCAAAGCCTATGGTGTCAAAAAATCTATGGAATTTTGCAGTCAAATGGTCCATTGATGAAGTATGTAAGGAATGTGACCCTTGTACATGTGATTTGGTAGCAGACAAGTAGCGTAGCCCACCATCCACAAGAGCAGAATAATCCACATATAGCCCTCGGCGAGATTACTCCGATTTGCATTGAATTGACCAGAGAAAATTAACTTGAAACAAAAACAAAAACAAACCCATGTCAACTGAAATTCGGTCTTTATTACAATTCACAGATTGGATAGAAGATAACATCATTAAATATAGTTTATCTAAATGATACAAAATACAACATATAATAGCAATGCATTCCAGTGCACCTTACAAGAAAAGAAAACTCTTTCTCCTCCTTAGCAGAGGGCAGGTCAGAGTCATTAGGTACAGTTCAGATTTTTCTGGCCATTGCCCTGTGTTGACTTAATGCCCCCACGCACCTGCTACTGTATAGCAGCCATACCGCTAGCATCAAAGGGGCTCCTAAAACAGATTGTTTACTGGAGTGCACACCCCAATGAACAGAAAACCAGTTTAGGTCTGTTGTTGCTGAGAAACTGTGTTAACATTGAGCAGAATCAGAATCTAGGCCTTCTGTATTCGATAGAAAAGCGGCCTTGCTTCTGCTTTAGGTCCCCAAGTTTAATTTATCTTTCAGTACACTTGTATTGGCTGAAATCCCATACTCTTGTTCTGTGCCAACAGATTTCGATCAAGGGCTTTCAATGGTTTTGTGGTTGGGCTCTGATAAAGGAATGGTTTTTGGATCCAAGTGTGCAAAATAAAATGAATATGTCCCTTTAACTGCAAAATACTTTGCATCTAAGCAATGCATAGAAGTTGAGTTGGGCCCTTGCCTTCACAGAGCCTATTTGGAAGATGTATAAGTCTGGTGTCGGGATAATTACAATACTTTAATAAATTCCACCTTCAATTCAATATAGTAGTAGTGCAGAATATGTGGAATGAGAGGGGTTGTCATATTGGACAGTTTCACTCTCGCATGAGACCTCACTTGAAGAGAAGAGAGGGGTCCTTCCTTGATTTCTTCATGGTCATTATGAGACACATAGATTCTATTGACAGTAAAGATGATTCTTCATGCATTGGTTAGAGCTACATATTTCTCTAACATCAGACTAGTCCAGACAATTACCACATGTGTGTTTCTGATATGTGGCTCCTTGGATACAACTAACCATGTGTATCTGATATGTGGTAGACAGAGAAAATCCAACAGCTAAATCAGATATGTTTCCTGTATTATTGAGGCCGCTGTCTTTTCCATTTTCCTAGCTAATGCAATTGAGGAGCTTGTGACTGGCCTTGCCATACATTGATTTATCCCCACAACCTGGTTAACTTCATGTCACATTAAGGCAAATTGATAGGCGGAGAGGGGAAAAAACAATGTTAGGAAAGATGGTTCATGAAATAAGTCTCAAACAGATGTTCTAACCATAATCATAATGTGCCTACATTGACTTTCTGGCTTTAGAATTGACCATATCAAGATATTTTATTCAAACATTAGACATGTGTGTACTTTCTGGCTAATGTTCTATTTCCTTCTACACTGTATAGGCCAAGGCTACGTTTTCTGACTGACTTTTGTGGACACTCACTGTAAATACATATCAACACACATAATAGAGATCATTCATATGATTGTGTTACATACATATGCATATTAGGCCTATATCCACCTACATCCGTATTTTATGAATACATTTGGTCGACTGTCCGAAAGCTCAGCCACAATTAAATAAATGTGTGTGCAGAGACTATTTCCGGTTTCTCCAGTTTTGCCTTTTGCCTCCAGCACCTTCACAATTCAGCTCTGGGTGTGCGGTAGATTCTGCCTATTATGAATATATTTGGGTAAAACCAGTAACATTTGTCAAACATGATTATCAGTTATTGAAGTTGGGCAATTTAGTCTTTGATTCCGAAGCAGCAACATTTCATTGTCATAATGTCATCAAAAGGAGCTAAACAATCTTGCGAGCTATTTTACAATTACCAGTGTAATTACAGTTATTTAAAACATAAACCTTTATGTACACATAAATACAGTTTCCTAAATACAGCGTCGTCTGTGTGTAGTCCACGCAGGGCGCGTTTTCCGATTACGCGTCTGGGAAAATCTTCCCACGCGGTCTGTCAACGGTGGACTGCGCTGACAGTCTCAGAAGGACCCTGCGATGGCAAGATCTCGCCAGCAGATGGCGCACTCCGACTACCCTCGAGAAACTAATTGCCAAAAGCCAGGGAATGAGTAGCTTTAGCTTTCAAAGGCTCCGTTCCTCTGTCGAACGGTCGAACGGATGACTGAGGTATTGCTGCGGGGTGTTGACGTTCACTCTGCTTTCTTGATGAATATCTGAAGTGCAAGAGAAATAGCATTTGAGACAAAATCATAGACATCTGTTTGAGGTATATATTCAACTTGACATTAGACCACTTTTGAGGCCTGAAAACATCGGACCAACTTAGATTTTTCAGTGAACTATCACTTTAAGTTGCCTAAAATACAAGGGATTCTTTATAAGACAAGGCTCCCAAGGTTCTGTGGTGAACGGGTGATGGCTGGGCCGCCTTACCTCGCTCAGGATGACCCAGACGGGGCAGTCTGTGATCACAGAGAGACGAAGGGCCTCCAGGGGCCCGAATGTGGGATCCACCTCCCCCTCGGCGATCCCATTATGGAACACTCCTAGAGGTCAGCGAGAGAGAGGATCGATATATCAGACTAATATAACCAATGGACTGTGGCTGGACATCTATAGACCCCTTTCTGTGTTTACAAACATTGCCGCACAAAGGCGATGCGCACAAACTGGTGGCAGAACAAGGGGGATTTCTTATAGAATGCCAGCAACTGGCCCAAAAAGCCTCTATTTACATGTTGCTTATGGATTGTAATTGGATTATAATTGGATTTTAAGGCTCGTATGAATGTCCTGCTTAATATAATGTTTGTGTCATCGTCGCAAATCAACTGCATTATATTTAAAAAACACTTCAACTTCAACCAGTAAAATGGCTCTTTGGCTAGCTTTTGCTACAGTTTACAGTATATCAATGAGTGTTAGCATTCTAGCTAACAACTGCTGCATCCAAAATAGTTATTTTGCAAAGATCACAAACAAACAATCTTAACGACTGTTCAAGCAAGAATCAAAACATAATTGTAAGCGTATGAGAACCCCAAAAAGTTATTTTGTTTAGAAGTAATAAAAACGTAAATCTAGGCTATGTTGAATGGACGCAGATGGCGATGGCTTGCTTACTGCAGCCAAGAGTCGCGCGCATCTGTGCGTGACGTCAGTGTGTCGTGTACTGAAAAAGGGTCTATTGACTTTGTCAATAAACACTGTAGTCATGATGCAGCATTGTATTGCATTTGTACCTCAATAAATACTGCATGGGCTCCTAAATTCTAACAGAGTTCACATTAGTCAAGATATGTTGTGTTGACGTTTCAATTGGTTCAAGCCAAGGAGGTGGTATCAAATACAAACATAAAATGTGTTCAGCTTGCTATGCTTTCTTTGTTGCTCTACTACAGAAATGTTACCTATACAAAATGAATTATCTCTCTTATCAATCTTGTTCCACAGTGATAGAGTGAGTTATATGGTTTAGGTTACACTACACCTGAAAGTAGAGCTGGAGGGAGAAGAACCTGGTGAACATTTGATAGCAATATCGCACAATTAATTGATTTGGTCCAAACGTGAACTACTGTGCCAGATTGATATTGATTCCCCCTTGAAATATTTATGAATGAGCGGGAGTGCTTGTAGTAATTTATATGCTGTCAGAAGGAGTACCTCTTTCAAGGGGATGAAAGCCTGTCTCTGTGTTACGGAGACAGCAATCACTGGCCTGGGGATGTGTTTGAATACTCAGAACATGCACCCTCACTCGTTGTCTACTCCCTTCCTTCCTTTCTTCCTTCCTTCCTTCCTTCCTTCCTTCATTGAATACATCAATAATCTGTATGTCAATGGATATATAATAGTGTACATGAAAGAAAGGTTTCTGCCCTATTGCATTAACAAATCCACCCCTCAGATCTGTAATTAAGGAAGGAACGATGGTGTATCTAACACTTTGCCACTGATTCAGTTGTAATGGAATTGAGCTCAAACCCTTCTTTCTACCTTATGTTAACTACATTTTACCCATCTTCCTATTTCAACATGATATAAAACACTGTAAGGTCATTTAATCCAATTATTTTCAATGAGTACCATGGTATCATTTTAAAGCGCACCGGTGCAACACTTGTCTTGCACTTCACGCAATTTCAGAAAGAGCACCTAAGGTCCGCTAAAAACTATGAAGGTAAGCCTTATCCACTCCTCCCGTCGTCCTGTGAAAGTCCTAGACGGTGCAGCAGCTAATCATGTGTTGGAGCCCTCAGTAATTGAGTGAGATGGATTTGTCAGGGGCCTGTGTGTGTGTGTGTGTGTGTGTGTGTTTGTGTGTGTGTAATTTGTCAGGGCCTGTCTTAGTCCATGTGAACTGTTCCTGTTTGCCAGTACCGGTTAGAATCTGGCACAAGGTTTTTGTTAGATGAAGGGGACTGATGAATGGATGGGTGAAAACAAAAGGGAAATAATTTTGGAGGGATATTTTGGCAGGGAGTACAGTGTTGGATTCTCTAAAAAGATGACATCATTGTTATGATAGTGGAGTCTTTTGTTTGGCTTTGGGTGATTCTGCCTGCAGTACTAGTTCTTAACACTTCTGGTAAATACATCCCCAGTACTAATAACCACCTATTGAAACATGTCTTTGGTAGCATGGCACTAATTGACTTCTGGGTCATTTTCATTAGAGGGGAACTGTTTTGCAACGGAAAGCGATATACTCACCTATTCTGATAAAGCCGTCCTCTGTTCTGTGGTATTTTGGTGTTTTCTCTCTCCTCTCTTTCAAGGCCTCTTTTTCTGACTGGATATTCTGTAGGAGAAGGAGAGAGAGGTATGTGAGGAACACAACACAGGAACACATATACACATGCACACCAAGATCAATGCAGGCAGAAACCCTGTTTGATCTGCACTCAGATCACAGCTTCAATCTACTGTATACATCTTCAACCAATGTATTCACAACAGCAAACTTCTTGATACTGTCCTCCTTTCATCTCCAGATTAAGTTAGTAGATCACACACACACACGCACACACACACACAGTACATTCACCTCACGGCACTAGTCGTGAACTCAGATCCACCTAACTTTGACCTCTTGTCTTACAACATAAAAGTGAGAAAAATGAGTCATCATAGTTAATAGAGCGGGACTCTTTAGTGTTGCTGCTGTGTCACAGCCAATCATACTGTTGGAGAAATATCTGTTTGACTCGCTTATCTAAAGCAATGAAGGAGAAAGTACGGGAGGACGGAGTGAGGGAAAACAAGCTGACCTTCTGTGGCAGAATTTTCCCTTTCTGTTGGTCCTCTAAACAGAAATCAATGCGGGTCAGATCACACAAGTGATTACAGATGTAGCATCTTAATTTGACCTATATTGTCACAGCAAAATAATTTGAACTTAGCAAGAGGATTTGAACGTTTAGTCCATAATGTTGCTTGATCGGTGGTTAGGCTATTAGCTGGCCAAAAGTAGGCTACATAAAAAGTGCAATACTGTTAATATAACTGTATGTTAGTGTGGGTTTTCTGTGAATTTATGTAAATCACAAAGCTCATCTGTATTTCCTCAGTAACAAAACAACGATCAAATTAAGATCCTTCCTACATCTGTACGCTACACTGTACAGATATGACATATCCCTCCTCCCACCGTTTAACTGCACCTGACAGCGAGTCTCTCTCTCTCTCTCTCTCTCTCTCTCTCTCTCTCTCTCTCTCTCTCTCTCTCTCTCTCTCTCTCTCGCTCGCTCGCTCGCTGATTTCTTCCTCCTGGTTAATCATCTTCTTGTCTTCTTCTTATCTTTCCTCATCTGTCTTCTCTCTCTATCTTTCCTTACCTTTCTTTCCTCAATCCTCTCTTCTCCATTCTATGACAGGCATAACTTGTTGTAAGTCTAAAGACAAGCAACACTTCTACCCATCATTAGCGGATATTCTTCCCATAGGAGGTACAACAACAACAACAAAAAAACAGCAACACCTCCACCCTCTTGCAGCATTACAGGGTTTCAATGACAGTCAGGTGTAGGGAGAGATTGAATGAGTGCAGGAGGGAGAATAAATAATAAAAGAGAGATAGACTGAGAGGGAGGAGAGACAGGGGTAAAAGATCCAGCTATTCATCTGTCGCCTAGCCACCCTGCTGGATGAAATATTTTTTAAGGCGAAAGCTCTCAAACCGTGGCCGGCGGGAGACGGATCTGATTACCACCGCCCAGGAGTCCTCTTCTTCTCTCTTTCTTTCTCCTCAATATCTCTCTCGTACTCTCCCTTTTTTTTGAGAGAGAACCTCACTCTGTCTTGAGTAATTTCTCACCTCTTTGCCTCTCTCTCCCTCTATTTCTTCTGTCCTTTCTCTGTGTCCTCTGGGGCTTAACACTGTGGGTGCTCGCATTAAACATGGCTTACGTCCTCCTATGTCAACCTGATGGAAGCTGACTTCATATGTCTTTCCAATTGAGAGAATTATATGTCTTTCCACTTGAAGAAGAGTAATGTACCCAGTGTGGCCTTACAAGAAATGGGCTGTATCTCAATAGAAATAACACAAAATAATAGAGATCTTCTGAAAGTATATGATCTTGAGTCCCTGTATGTAACAATATATGGCTGAATATATGTAATGATAACAAAACATACCTCATAGTAATATACACTGAGTGTAGAAAACATGACATAGACTGACCAGGTGAATCCAGGTAAAAGCTATGATATTGATGTCACTTGTTAAATCCACTTCAATCAGTGTAGATGAAGGGTAGGAGACAGGTTAAAGAAGGATTTTTAAGCCTTGAGACAACTGACACATGGACAACTGACACAGTTCTTGACACAAAATATGTAATGCTTCAAACAGGGTATGGTAGTAGGTGCCAGGCACACCGGTTTGTGTCAAGAACTGCAACGCTGCTGGGTTTTTCACGCTCAACAGTTTCCTGTGTGTATCAAGAATGGTTCACCACCCAAAGGACATCCAGCCAACGTGACACAACTGTGGGAAGCATTGGATTCAACATGGGCCAGCATCCCTGTAGAACGCTTTCGACACCTTGTAGAGTTGAATTGAGGCTGTTCTGAGGGCAACTCAATATTAGGAAGGTGTTCCTAATGTTTGGTATGCTCAGTGTATGTAAGGGATAATGAGGGGCTATGCTTTCTATGGAAAATAATGAACAATATGGAAGGTGTGTTCCACGACGCGCTAGCGGACCTTCCACGGAGTTGCATTATTTTCCAGAGAACGCATAGAGCCCTGAGTTGACTATCCCTTTTTGTCTATAATTTAACACATTTGCCACTAGAGCTTTGTTCATTTGCAGGTAGAAATGTGTTCAACATCCACTGAAGTAGCTAGCAAGTTTACTAGATATGTCAGGCCCTGACTCTGGGGACTCTAGTATGTTGAGCCAGGGTGTGAGTGTTCATTTGTTTATGTTCTAGTTTGTATTTCTATGTTGGCCTGAGTGACTCCCAATCAGAGGCAACGAGTGTCAGCTGGTTGTCTCTGATTGGGAGCCATAATTAAACTGTCTATCTTTCCTTTTGGTTTTGTGGTTTCTTGTTCCGTGTTGGTTGGTGTATGTAACCAGGGACGTCACGGTTTCGTTTTGTTCGTGTGATCAGTTATTAAATAAAGAAGATGTTTGCCTTCAACGCTGCGCCTTGGTCCTCCTCCTTAGACGAGCGTGACAGAAGAAACCACCAGAACTGGACCAAGCAGCCTAGTGAGGAGCAGAGTGGGTGGACTTGGCAACAGTGGAGGAAGAGCTTCGACTGGGTCAAGCCGAATGAGGAGCTGAATGGCGGAGATTGGAAGCAGAAGAGCGAGAGTTGGGCGAGAATTATCGAGGCCTGGCCCACGGGGAAGAGAGACTCCCAGAATTTTTTTAGGGGGGGGCTCACGACGTCGGACCAGCAGGAGGCCGCGATAGAGCGGCCCAGCGGGTTGCCAGAGGAGGCCGCCAGGTTAAGGGGGCCACTGGTCGAAGAGGGGATGGAGGATGTAGAGGCACGGCGAGAGGTACTGGCGTGTGTTGCCAGTCCGGTCCGGCCTGTTCCTGAACCCCACGTAGGGCCAGTGGTGTGTGTTCCCAGTACGGTCCGGCCTGTTCCTGCCACTCGCACCAAGTCTGTGGTGCGTTTCGTCAGCCCTGTCCGGCCCGTTCCTGCTCTCCGCACCAAGTCTGGTGCGCGTCGCCAGCCCAGTCCGGCCCATTCCTGCTCCCCGCACCAAGTCAGTGGTGCGCGTCGTCAGCCCGGCACGGCCCGTTCCTGCTCCCCGCATCAAGTCAGCGGTGCGCTTCGTCAGCCCGGTCCGGCCCGCTCCTGCTCCCTGCATCAAGTCAGTGGTGCGTTTCGTCAGCCCGGCTCGGCCCGCTCCTGCTCCCCACACCAAGCCAGTGGTGTGCGTCGTCAGTCCGGCACGGCCCGTGCCTGTTCCACCGGTGGCGGGTCCGGCACCGGTCAGGTCACGCCGGAGCTAGAGCAATCCGCTCCACCTGTGTTCAGTTCAGCTCTGGTCAGCAGGGCCAGACCGGACCAGGGGTACTTTGGGGGGTTAGAGAAGGAGTGGGGGTCATGTCCGGAGCCGGATCCGCCGCCGAGGTGGAGTGCCCACCCGGTCCCTCCCCTGTTGTATTTGGCTGGCGCGGTCGGAGTCCGCGCCTTTAGGGGGGGGTACTGTCACGCCCTGGCTCTGGGGACTCTAGTATGTTGAGCCAGGGTGTGAGTGTTCATTTGTTTATGTTCTAGTTTGTATTTCTATGTTGGCCTGAGTGACTCCCAATCAGAGGCAACGAGTGTCAGCTGGTTGTCTCTGATTGGGAGCCATATTTAAACTGTCTATCTTTCCCTTTGGTTTTGTGGTTTCTTGTTCCGTGTTGGTTGGTGTATGTAACCAGGGACGTCACGGTTTCGTTTTGTTGTTTTGATCGTGTGATCAGTTATTAAATAAAGAAGATGTTTGCCTTGGTCCTCCTCCTTAGACGAGCGTGACAAGATAGCTACAGTAGTTGCCTTGGTAACCAAACAAACAGACTTACCAAACCATCAGTCCTAGCTTGCTATTATGAAATTTGAATTCAACAAATACCAATACTGTTTTCAATTAGACTTTTGCTTTCAAAAGCAGCTCAAACAAAATATGAAAAAATTAACTATAGCCATTGAATTCTACCGTGCAAATATACTGTGTGTTTTAGGGAAATAATGCACGCTCTAGAGTGCCCTTCAAGCCAATCAGAAAGGAGTATTAAACAATGCCATGGTATAATTAAGTGATAATGCCCTCGACGCTGGTGTTTGGAGGATATATTGGCACGGTGTTGTTAGGCCCGGGACGAAGTCGAGGGCCGGCAAACCGTGCCAATATATCTTCCTAACACCAGCTTCGAGGGCATTATCACTTTTATACAACGGGTTACCAACATATTAAAATAATGGTTGACATATTTTCATTAAACTTTATTTTGATTAATTTATTCATACTATTTCATCCTTCTGCAAGATATAGTCCCGACACAAATCTAGGGTTGCTACACAAGCCGGCTGGTCATTCGTTCTATTGGTTCAGTTGCCAGAGACGCAACCCAGTATTTTTGTTCTGTATCTATGGACGCAACCCAGTCGTTCGTTCTAAATGTTCCATTGCCATACTGGCTGGCAACGTTCTTAGCCCTTGCTTGCTAGCTAGTCAACTACGGCTAACTTACAGTCATGTCACTCAGTGCAGCCAGAATAATAACAGCTGCATTTGCATTTGTTTAAGCTGTTTTCTAGTGACATTTATTTGGATAGATCCATAACAATGAGCTAATGAGGCGCGATTTCGCCTGGCATAGAAAATGTGCTCTCTCGTCAGGACACTGTTGTTCAGAGGAGCTAGCCAACAACACAGCTAACACAATCACTTCAAACTGAAGCTGGAAAGACTGCAAACTAGCTGCACTTCGTTTCGTTTTACCTTTTGTTGATTGAAATGTCTTTGTATACAGTGAGGGAAAAAAGTATTTGATCCCCTGCTGATTTTGTAAGTTTGCCCACTGACAAAGAAATGGTCAGTCTATAATTTGAATGGTAGGTTTATTTGAACAGTGAGAGACAGAATAACAACCAAAAAATCCAGAAAAACGCATGTCAAAAATGTTATAAATTGATTTGCATTTTAATGAGGGAAATAAGTATTTCACCCCTCTGCAAAACATGACTTAGTACTTGGTGGCAAAACCCTTGTTGGCAATCACAGAGGTCAGACGTTTCTTGTAGTTGGCCACCAGGTTTGCACACATCTCAGGAGGTATTTTGTCCCACTCCTCTTTGCAGATCTTCTCGAAGTCATTCAGGTTTCGAGGCTGACGTTTGGCAACACGAACCTTCAGCTCCCTCCACAGATTTTCTATGGGATTAAGGTCTGGAAACTGGCTAGGCCACTCCAGGACCTTAATGTGCTTCTTCTTGAACCACTCCTTTGTTGCCTTGGCCGTGTGTTTTGGGTCATTGTCATGCTGGAATATCCATCCACGACCCATTTTCAATGCCCTGGCTGAGGGAAGGAGGTTCTCACCCAAGATTTGACGGTACAAGGCGCCGTCCATCGTCCCTTTGATGCGGTGAGGTTGTCCTGTCCCCTTAGCAGAAAAACATCCCCAAAGCATAATGTTTCCATCTCGATGCTTGACGGTGGGGATGGTGTTCTTGGGATCATAGGCATCATTCCTCCTCCTCCAAACACGGCGAGTTGAGTTGATGCCAAAGAGCTCAATTTTGGTCTCATCTGATCACAACACTTTCACCGAGTTCTCCTCTGAATCATTCAGATATTCATTGGCAAACTTCAGACGGGCCTGTATATGTGCTTTCTTGAGCAGGGGGACCTTGCGGGCGCTGCAGCATTTCAGTCCTTCACGGCGTAGTGTGTTAACAATTGTTTTCTTGGTGACTATGGTCCCAGCTGACTTGAGCTCATTGACAAGATCCTCCCGTGTAGTTCTGGGCTGATTCCTCACCATTCTCATGATCATTGCAACTCCACGAGGTGAGATCTTGCATGGAGCCCCAGGCCGAGGGAGATTGACAGTCCTTTTGTGTTTCTTCCATTTGCAAATAATCGCACCAACTTTTGTCACCTTCTCACCAAGCTGCTTGGCGATGGTCTTGTAGCCCATTCCAGCCTCGTGTAGGTCTACAATCTTGTCCCTGACATCCTTGGAGAGCTCTTTGGTCTTGGCCATGGTGGAGAGTTTGGAATCTGATTGATTGATTGCTTCTGTGGACAGGTGTCTTTTATACAGGTAACAAGCTGAGATTAGGAGCACTCCCTTTAAGAGTGTGCTCCTAATCTCAGCTCGTGACCTGCATAAAAGACACCTGGGAGCCAGAAATCTTTCTGATTGAGAGGGGGTCAAATACTTATTTCCCTCATTAAAATGCAAATAAATTTATAACATTTTTGACATGCGTTTTTCTGGATTTTGTTGTTGTTATTCTGTCTCTTACTGTTCAAATAAACCTACCATTAAAATTATAGACTGATCATTTCTTTGTATGTGGGCAAACGTACAAAATCAGCAGGGGATCAAATACTTTTTTCCCTCACTGTAACTGTCAATCTCCCTCGGCCTGGGGCTCCATGCAAGATCTCACCTCGTGGAGTTGCAATGATCATGAGAACGGTGAGGAATCAGCCCAGAACTACACGGGAGGATCTTGTCAATGATCTCAAGGCAGCTGGGACCATAGTCACCAAGAAAACAATTGGTAACACACTACGCCGTTAAGGACTGAAATCCTGCAGCGCCCGCAAGGTCCCCCTGCTCAAGAAAGCACATATACAGGCCCGTCTGAAGTTTGCCAATGAACATCTGAATGATTCAGAGGAGAACTGGGTGAAAGTGTTGTGGTCAGATGAGACCAAAATCGAGCTCTTTGGCATCAATTCAACTCGCCGTGTTTGGAGGAGGAGGAATGCTGCCTATGACCTCAAGAACACCATCCCCACCGTCAAACATGGAGGTGGAAACATTATGCTTTGGGGGTGTTTTTCTGCTAAGGGGACAGGACAACTTCACCGCATCAAAGGGACGATGGACGGGGCCATGTACCGTCAAATCTTGGGTGAGAACCTCTTTCCCTCAGCCAGGGCATTGAAAATGGGTCGTGGATGGGTATTCCAGCATGACAATGACCCAAAACACATGGCCAAGGCAACAAAGGAGTGGCTCAAGAAGAAGCACATTAAGGTCCTGGAGGGGCCTAGCCAGTCTCCAGACCTTAATCCCATAGAAAATCTGTGGAGGGAGCTGAAGGTTTGAGTTGCCAAACGTCAGCCTCGAAACCTTAATGATTTGGAGAAGATCTGCAAAGAGGAGTGGGACAAAATCCCTCCTGAGATGTGTGCAAACCTGGTGGCCAACTACAAGAAACGTCTGACCTCTGTGATTGCCAACAAGGGTTTTGCCACCAAGTACTAAGTCATGTTTTGCAGAGGGGTGACATACTTTTTTCCCTCATTAAAATGCAAATCAATTTATAACATTTTTGACATGCGTTTTTCTGGATTTTTTGGTTGTTATTCTGTCTCTCACTGTTCAAATAAACCTACCATTCAAATTATAGACTGATAATTTATTTGACAGTGGGCAAATGTACAAAATCAGCAGGGGATCAAATACTTTTTTCCCTCACTCATCCATTAAATGATGCCAGCTGATTCATGATTTAGAAATGCTGAGAAAAGCTGCCTGCCTGTCTGTCTCGTTCCGACTCCCGATACATTCATTACTATGGGACAGCTGGAGATAAAATTTGAATATTGAAACAATGTTGCAAATGTCAGAGAGACAGACAGCAAGGTTTATACAAATATCTGCTGTTGAAAACTAAATGTTAGTCTAAAAGAAATGTGAGATAATGTCTAGATGCTTTTTATAGTGGAGATCACGTTTATAAATTGCCTGGCTGGGCTGATGAGACAGTGGATTGCGTAGTCAGATGGAACAGAGTAAATAGGCATTTTAAGGGTGGAAACTGGAATAGACACCATCTGGAATGCACTTTTAACCAATCAGCATTCAGGGTTAGACCCACCCGTTGTATAAATCACTGTAATTATATATATTTCCAGTGGTATTACTATAGTAAAGGTCTATGTAATGTAAAGGGCTACTGGCAATCCTGTGACAGGATGAATCAGGCTTATAGTGGTGAGCCTCGTATTACAAGATAATATATGGTAAAGCTTATGTAATGGTAATAATGTGCTGGGACTGAATCGGGTGAATAGCGGTGAGACTCACGTCAAAAGGCTGCACCTCCACAGTGGTGTTGAACAGCTTGTCCCCTGGGTGCTCAATGTTCCCGCTACGGAAGAAATACCTTGAAAGATCGATAGAGAGAGAGAGAGAGAGAGAGAGAGAGAGAGAGGATAACAAATGGGGAGATGTCAATTTGATATTCAACACAAATTGATCCACCACTATCATCATCATCATCATGGGTGCCCACTTTTTTTTGGCGCCATGAAAATGTTTAAAATTAACTTGTCTCAGCAGCATACATATTTGATGCAAAGACTAGAAATGGCTTATTTGGTCGATATTACTTACCAAGCCAAGCAGAGCTGTTTGTTTTATCGAAATACAAATTATCCTGTACTTTTTCATTTGGCAAAGACACATAAAGACACAGCTTGGCTACATTGTAACTGCAAAGCGTCCACGGTGCACTTGCATACAGTGGGGGAAAAAAGTATTTAGTCAGCCACCAATTGTGCAAGTTCTCCCACTTAAAAAGATGAGAGAGGCCTGTAATTGTCATCATAGGTACACATCAACTATGACAGACAAAATGAGAAAAAAAAATCCAGAAAATCACGTTGTAGGATTTTTAATGAATTTATTGGCATATGATGGTGGAAAATAAGTATTTGGTCAATAACAAAAGTTTCTCAATACTTTGTTATATACCCTTTGTTGGCAATGACACAGGTCAAACGTTTTCTGTAAGTCTTCACAAGGTTTTCACACACTGTTGCTGCTATTTTGGCCCATTCCTCCATGCAGATCTCCTCTAGAGCAGTGATGTTTTGGGGCTGTCGCTGGGCAACACAGACTTTCAACTCCCTCCAAAGATTTTCTATGGGGTTGAGATCTGGAGACTGGCTAGGCCACTCCAGGACCTTGAAATGCTTCTTACGAAGCCACTCCTTCGTTGCCGGGCGGTGTGTTTGGGATCATTGTTATGCTGAAAGACCCAGCCACGTTTCATCTTCAATGCCCTTGCTGATGGAAGGAGGGTTTCACTCAAAATCTCACGATACATGGCCCCATTCATTCTTTCCTTTACACGGATCAGTCGTCCTGGTCCCTTTGCAGAAAAACAGCCCCAAAGCATGATGTTTCCAACCCCATGCTTCACAGTAGGTATGGTGTTCTTTGGATGCAACTCAGCATTCTTTGTCCTCCAAACATGACGAGTTGAGTTTTTACCAAAAAGTTATATTTTGGTTTCATCTGACCATATGACATTCTCCCAATCCTCTTCTGGATCATCCAAATGCACTTCAGACGGGCCTGGACATGTACTGGCTTAAGCAGGGGGACACGTCTCTCACTGCAGGATTTGAGTCCCTGGCGGCATAGTGTGTTACTGATGGTTGGCTTTGTTACTTTGGTCCCAGCTCTCTGCAGGTCATTCACTAGGTCCCCCCGTGTGGTTCTGGGATTTTTGCTCACCGTTCTTGTGATCATTTTGACCCCACGGGGTGAGATCTTGCGTGGAGCCCCAGATCGAGGGAGATTATCAGTGGTCTTGTATGTCTTCCATTTCCTAATAATTGCTCCCACAGTTGATTTCTTCAAACCAAGCTGCTTACCTATTGCAGATTCAGTCTTCCCAGCCTGGTGCAGGTCTACAATTTTGTTTTTGGTGTCCTTTGACAGCTCTTTGGTCTTGGCCATTGTGAAGTTTGGAGTGTGACTGTTTGAGGTTGTGGACAGGTGTATTTTATACTGATAACAAGTTCAAACAGGTGCCATTAATACAGGTAATGGGTGGAGGACAGAGGAGCCTCTGAAAGAAGAAGTTACAGGTCTGTGAGAGCCAGAAATCTTGCTTGTTTGTAGGTGACCAAATACTTATTTTCCACCATAATTTGCAAATAAATTCATTAAAAATCCTACAATGGGATTTTCTGGATTTTTTTTCCTCAATTTGTCTGTCATAGTTGACGTGTACCTATGATGAAAATTACAGGCCTCTCTCATCTTTTTAAGTGGGAGAACTTGCACAATTGGTGGCTGACTAAATACTTTTTTTCCCCACTGTATGTGTCTCACCTAGGACTGTTAGTTTTGTAACTGAATGAAAACATTTTAACTATGTGATTTAACCGATTGATGTTGGGAAAAGAAATATGACAAAATGCCGAATGGGGGGGGTTATTTCACAGATTGAATCATTAGGCCTACTGATTATTTTTCAATTGCGAGCTACTCATTGACAGCCCGCGAGCTACCGGACATGCAGTGTTCTGCTAAGGTGCAACCTTTGGTAGACTGATGGAAGGCTACTCAGAGTGTGATACAGAGAAGCCTAATCAGATGTGCCCGTGCTCATCATGGTTCTAACAGGCAAAGTGAAATGATACAATGAATTTGCTCGTGGTGCACGCAGCTCAAATGACATGGAACAACACCATTGAACCAACACCATCGAATGGGAAACAACAATATAAATGTAATAACAGCACAACAAAATAGATTAACAATTTTGCAGGTGCCTTTTCATTTTATACACCAGTGGTGCAACTAGTGCTTTCTAACTGCACTGAACCAAAACAGTGGCATGCGGGAGCGAAGCAAAACCTTCCAGTGGTCAAAACCATTCATCTTGAGGCGACGGGGGACAGGGGATATGCAATCTGTTAATTATTATATTATATATAAAATGGGCATATCTATTTTAATACATTCTAGCTCAAAACATTACTAATCATTGAAAATGATAAATTACCCAATGGATCATGATCATTTTCTGGTAAAAAATTGAGGGAGCAAAAACAAACGATTGCACCCCTATTTTGAAAGTGGGGATACAGCTGCTCCGTTTGCTCCATTGCTCAGGCTCCTTTGATCATCATCATCATTATCAGTCAGCCAGCCAGCCAGCCAGCCAGCCAGCCAGCCAACCAATCACCCAGTTCAAACGCCATCTACATTTTGCTTTGTACAAATGCATGTCCCACCAAGTACCCAACAGCAGCCTGGACAACTGAGGCGACACTGGTGACCACAGAGCCACAGCTTGACCATTAGAAGACAGTGGTGACCACAGGGCCACAGCGTCTCCGTTAGAAGACAGTGGTGACCACAGAGCCACAGCGTCACCATTAGAAGACAGTGGTGACCACAGAGCCACAGCGTCACCATTAGAAGACAGTGGTGACCACAGAGCCACAGCGTCACCATTAGAAGACAGTGGTGACCACAGGGCCACAGCGTCTCCGTTAGAAGACAGTGGTGACCACAGTGCCACAGCGTCACCATTAGAAGACAGTGGTGACCACAGAGCCACAGCGTCACCATTAGAAGACAGTGGTGACCACAGAGCCACAGCGTCACCATTAGAAGACAGTGGTGACCACAGAGCCTTTATATGTAGGGATCCAGCAGCAGATAGACCATCTGCCTTGACAGTAATGTGAAGTCCTGGAGGAAAAACGTGAACACATCTGATCTGTGACTGGGCTCCCATGCCTGTTGAATATGCATGTCATCTACATTAGTGTTAAATATGTATATTTATGTAATGCATATGCAGAGTATTCACATGGGACTAGTGGAGGGAGAGGGGGAGCGAGAGGGAGAGAGAGAGAGAGAGGGGGGGGGGGGGGGAGAGAGGGAGAGCGACAGTCTGGGACATGTGTGGAGATCTGTGTGGAGATCGTCTTTGTCCACTAGCACAGCGTGTGTGTTTGTGCATGTGTGCGTGCGCATGTATGTGTGCACATGCATGTGTGTGTGTTTATGTGTGTGTGGGTCCATGTAAGTGTGTGTATCCAAGCATGTGAGCACACACACACACCTCTCGATGCGGACCGGCGTGAAGAAACGGATGCGGATGAAGTCCCCAGCCACTGGGGTGAAGGCCCAGAAGAAGTCCTCTCCCAGGTAGGCCTTCTCCAGAGTGAAGTGCTGGTACGTCTTCAGGCTGGTGGTCACCTCCGCCAGTGGGTTGGCGTGGCCCTTGTGCAGGGTCTGCTTGCCAAAGTCCTTGTCCTGGAATGAACAATTAGACCCAAAGAGGGGGGTTTAGGGAGAAGACATGAAGGTGTTTCTAGATATCGCTAAGCTCTCATCTTGACTTTGAGGGTGCAGTTATAAAGACAGGGATGAATTCTAACTTGAGATTTGGAAGCATGACTTAAATGTTCATTTATATCCTCTATTTATGGGCCTCCTGAATGGCGCAGTGGTCTAAGGCATGGGCCGCGACCGGGAGACCCATGAGGCGGTGCACAATTGGCCCAGCGTCGTCCGGGTTAGGGGAGGGTTTGGCCAGCCAGGATGTCCTTGTCCCATCACGCTCCAATGACTCCTTGTCGCGGGCCCGGGCGCATGCACGCTGACTTCGGTCGCCAGCTGTACAGTGTTTCCTCCGACACATTGGTGCGGCTGGCTTCCGGGTTAAGCGAGCAGTGTGTCAAGAAGCAGTGTGGCTTGCAGGGTTGTGTTTCGGAGGATGCATGGCTCTTGACCTTTGACCCCTCCGGAGTCCGTGCAGGAGTTGCAGCGATGGGACAAGACTGTAACTACCAATTGGGGTAAAATAATATATTTTTTAAATCCTCTGTTTATTCCATTTACATGACTTATTCTCTCATCTCTCCTCCAAGTGGCTTTGGGGTTGAGAGTAACTACATTATTTATTGTTGGCCAAAATGATGAAATTCCACATGGAGAATGTGCAATTTCATGATAAAAGAGAATAGTATATGTCTAACACTGGATAATGTCACAACAAATCAATGAGAGATGACTTGTAACATTGTCCTGCCTTGGGTTAGACTTCAGTAGCAGTCTTCAGGCTGATATCAATTGCTCTTAACACAGTAATCAGAGACATTAAACACAGTCTTTATAGCTCCCATCTGGAGTCTGTATGGCGACTTGATATGTATACCAGTACTGCAGGACTCAGAGACTTGAAAGCTAATATTTGAACATACACAGACTGTAGTAGATATGATGACACATGCACAGTGAGAGGATGCTAGTAAGCCCCATGTATATACACACACACCTCCATACCTTGAGTTTCTGGATCTTTCCGGCCAGGGAAGAGTGGGTGCCCACATGCTGGAAGAGAGAGGGCTTGAAGCGAATTCTCAGGTTGGCCTTCTGCCTGTCGCAGTGTTTCTGTGTGTGACAGGCAGGGGAGAGGTGGGAAAGAGGAGGAGGGAGAAAGAAAGAGAGTATGAGTGTGTGGGAGTTGCACCATTTTCTGAGACTGAGACCATTTTGGAAAGTCATAGTATTTACATGTAACTACCTGCTTGGATACTCTGTAACACATCATTTTCCCCCTCCCTTGAAGTAATCACTGATCTAACATGACTGGGTCTGAAGAACAGCTTGTATCAGGATAGTGCTTACCACAAGATATAAGGAAAGGTGTACTTCGAACTGGGCCTAGGTTTACCATGGTGGGGAGGGGGGGTGTTGAACTTACCGCGTCCTTCTCCGGGTTGCACACCTTAACCCACATGATGTGGTCCAGCAGCCAATCAATTGGCTTGTCCTTGTAGAACATTAGCATAAACTCAACGATCAGTGACAGGTCCACGGACTTGAACATCTTACCTGAGGAGAGACGATATACCACTCAGTTACAACGCGTGACATCCTCAAATAGCGCCAAAGGTTGTTCAGCTTGTACCTTGTCCATTTCTAAATGTTTCATAATATCTTGAGCCTATGAAACACTACTTCCCAATTGTAAAATATCCCTTATCTCCTATCCCAAGGCCCTTTGTGAAAATCTGAATGGTCTGAAAGGATTGGACAGGTTTTTGAAATATGGTTATAACTACCTTGCCCTCTGCTAGTTGGACAATTAAATCCTTTCAGATGTATTAGAAGGGGGGCCATTTGTCTCAGGCTGACGTGTATGCCGTAACGAAGTCAAGCGCAGGACACCGAGCTACTGGCAGACGTACTTTACCGTACACAGTATAGAAAGTACAAAACCAAAATACCTCCTAACAGGGAGGAAACAATACTAGCACACAACAGCTTGAAAAACAATCACACACAATAAACTATGAGAGACAGGGGTATTTAAAGGGAATACAAAGCAACATAATCGGAAACAGGTGTAAACAATAAAGACCAAACAAGACAAACACCGAAACATGGATCGGTAGCAGCTAGTACTCCGGGGACGACGAATGCCGAAGCCTGCCCGAGCAAGGAGGAGGAGCAGCCTCGGCTGAATCCGTGACAGTACCCCCCCCTTGACGCGCGGCTCCAGCCGTGCGCTGACCCCGGCCTCGGGGACGGCCAGGAGGACGCGGAGCTGGGTCGGATGACTCCGGTGGAAATCCCTCAACATGGAGGGATCTAGGACGTCCCTCCTAGGGACCCAGCACCGTTCCTCCGGACCGTAACCCTCCCACTCCACGAGATACTGCAGGCCCCCCATCCGACGCCTCGAATCCAAGATGGAATGGACTGAGTACGCCGGAGCCCCCTCGATGTCCAGTGGGGGCGGAGGAACCTCTCGTACCTCACTCTCCTGGAGTGGACCAGCTACTACCGGCCTGAGGAGAGACACATGGAACGAGGGTTAATGCGGTAATTAATGGGCAGTTGTAACCTATAACATACCTCGTTCAATCTCCTCAGGACTTTAAATGGCCCCACAAACCGCCGACCCAGCTTCCGGCAGGGCAGGCGAAGGGGCAGGTTTCGGGTCGAGAGCCAGACCCGATCTCCCGGTGCATACACCGGAGCCTCACTGCGGTGGCGATCCGCGCTCGCCTTTTGCCGCCTGATAGCCCGTTGCAGATGGACATGCGCAGCATTCCAGGTTTCTTCCGAGCGCCGAAACCACTTGTCCACCGCAGGGGCTTCGATCTGGCTCTGATGCCAAGGTGCCAGGACCGGCTGATAACCTAGCACACACTGAAAAGGCGTAAGGTTAGTGGAGGAGTGGCGGAGTGAGTTTTGGGCTATCTCTGCCCAGGGGATATATCCCGACCACTCCCCCTGCCGGTCCTGGCAATAGGACCTCAGAAACCTACCCACATCTTGGTTCACTCTCTCCACCTGCCCATTACTCTCGGGGTGAAAACCTGAGGTAAGGCTAATCGAGACCCCCAGACGTTCCATAAACGCCCTCCAGACTTTAGAGGTGAACTGGGGACCCCGATCAGACACTATATCCTCAGGTACCCCGTAGTGCCGGAAGACGTGTGTAAACAGGGCGTCAGCAGTTTGTAAGGCTGTAGGGAGACCTGGCATAGGAATGAGACGGCAGGCCTTCGAAAACCGATCCACAACGACCAAGATCGTCGTGTTCCCCTGGGAGGGGGGAAGGTCCATGTCAAAATCCACCGATAGGTGAGACCACGGCCATTGTGGAACGGGTAGGGGTTGTAACTTCCCTCTGGGCAGGTGTCTAGGCGCCTTACACTGGGCGCACACCGAGCAGGAGGAAACATAAACCCTCACGTCCTGGGCCACCAGTACTTCCCACTAAGGCAGTGCACTGTCCGACCAATACCAGGATGACCAGAGGAGGGTGACATGTGAGCCCAATATATCAATCGATCACGAACCTCGAGTGGCACAGACCATCCCTTGAGAGCCCTCTGTTGCCATGAAATGTTGGGGTCATGAGATGTTAACCAGGGAAGCCCCAACACCACGGGAAACGCAGGAGAATCAATCAAATACAAACAGATTATCTCCTCATGACCCTCCTGCGTTTTCATCCTGAGAGGCGCTGTGACTTCCCTAATCAATCCTGACCCCAAAGGGTGGCTATCTAGGGCATAGATGGGGAAGGGCACATCAACAGGTACAATAGGAATCCCTAACTTATAGGTGAACTGGCGATCGATAAAATTCCCAGCTGCGCCTGAATCTACTAGCGCCTTATGCTGGGAATGAGGAGAAACCTCGGGAAACACCACTTTAATACACATATGCGCAACAGAGAGCTCTGGGTGAGTTGGGTGCCTACTCACCTGGAATGACTCATCAGTGCGCTGCCTACTGCCTCGATTCCTAGGAGACCCTCCCCAGCACCGACCAGCAGTGTGTCCTCTGCGGCCACAGTTGGTGCAGGGGACGGCCTCTCTCCTGGTCTCTCTCCTGGTCTCCCTAGCTCCAGCACCTCCAAGCTCCATAGGGGTCGGCTCGGAAGTGCTGGGGGATGGAATGGACGGCCCTGAATCCGGACGTCCGCGGGTAGCCAACAGGGTATCCAGGCGAATTGACATGTCCACCAGTTGATCGAAGCTGAGGTTGGTGTCCCTGCAGGCCAATTCCCGACGCACGTCCTCCCTCAGGCTACATCTGTAGTGGTCGATGAGGGCCCTCTCATTCCATCCCGCGTTGGCAGCCAGCGTCCGGAAGTCCAGTGCGAACTCCTGTGCGCTCCTCCTCCCCTGTCTGAGGTGGAATAGACGCTCACCCGCCACTTTACCCTCTGGTGGATGATCGAATACTGCCCTGAAGCGGCGGGTGAACTCCGCATAGTTGACAGTAGCGGCGTCTATTCCCCCCCACTCGGCGTTGGCCCACTCCAGCGCCTTGCCGGACAGACAGGAGATGAGGGCGGACACGCTCTCGTATCCCGAGGGCACCGGGTGGATGGTTGCCAGGTAGAGTTCAACCTGGAGCAGGAAACCCTGACTCCCGGCAGCTGTGCCATCATAAGCCCTCGGGAGCGAGAGCCGAATCCCACTGGACCCCGGAGGTGAAGCGATGGGAATCGCCGATGGTGGTGGTATCTTTGGAGGAGGTGTAGGCAGACCCCCTCTTTCCCATCGCTCCATAGTGCTCACCACCCGTTCCATGGCGGTGCCGAGAGCCTGGATCATGGCCGCTTGTTGTTCGACGCGTTCCTCCATTGATCCAGCTGGCACCGCCGCTCCTGCTGACTCCATGTGTGGTGTGTGAAGTCAAGCGTAGGACACCGAGCTACTGGCAGACGTACTTTACTGAACACAGTATAGAAAGTACAAAACCAAAATACCTCCTAACAGGGAGGAAACAATACTTGCCGACCTCACGAAAAACAATCACACACAATAAACTATGAGAGACAGGGGTATTTCAAGGGAATACAATGCAACATAATCAGAAACAGGTGTAAACAATAATGACCAAACAAGACAAACACCGAAACATGGATCGGTAGCAGCTAGTACTCCGGGGACGACGAACGCCGAAGCCTGACGAGCAAGGAGGAGGAGCAGCCTCGGCTGAATCCGTGACAATTTGGAATTGGTTAAAAGGGAAGTAGAAAGTAGAGTGCAACAAGGACCTAGAACGGAGGCTAAACTTAGCCAGTGTGCTTTGAAATTAAATCAGAATAAAATAGAATTGCACACGGACCCTTGAGTGCTGAATTTAATCTAATGTAATTTAATTGTCAGATTAATACTGATTAATGCATTAGAGGCCATTTCATAAAGGCAGAGAGAGATGGGTCGAGACAGAGGGAGAGAGAGGGTGAAAGGTCAGGTGGTCATGTGAGAGGAGTTCCACTAACAGTCATTATAGAACCTGATGGGGGGTGTAGGAGTGGAGAGATGGACTGTAAGATAGGTAGAGAGGGAGAGAGTGAGGGAAAGTGGGGCATTGGGGGAGGGAGAGAGTGATAAGTAAAGAGAGAGAGGGGCAAACAGATATGCCTAACATTCATTACAGGCAGGTGTGTGACCTCCTGAGTCAGTCACTACATCAGGCAGGTGTGTGACCTCCTGAGTCAGTCACTACATCAGGCAGGTGTGTGACCTCCTGAGTCAGTCACTACATCAGGCAGGTGTGTGACCTCCTGAGTCAGTCACTACATCAGGCAGGTGTGTGACCTCCTGAGTCAGTCACTACATCAGGCAGGTGTGTGACTTCCTGAGTCAGTCACTACATCAGGCAGGTGACTCACAGAAACAGTAGGCTCACTGAATCCCTGATCTGAGACCAGTATGACCCAGTGACTCACTTAGACTGACTCTACTGACTGATCTAGTGACTGTTCTCAGAACAGGGCAGCTTACCAATTTAAGAATTTCACACACACACACCTGGGGATAACCTCTATAGACAGCCACACACCATAACTTCAATGCTGAGTTATACAAAACAGCCTTTGAATGCTGTCTTATAAGACAATGCTCAGGTTAAATGTTAAAAACATTCAATTTCCATCTGTATTTTATGGAGAGCCATTTAACTATCTTTCATCTTTCCATTTTCTACAATGTTGGCTTCAATTCAAGGTCTAATGGGTCTGTATCCATGAATCAACCTCTCTCCTCTCTCCTCTGAGAGAGAGAGAGAGTGAGAGCCGAGAGAATGAGAGAGAGAGAGAGGAGCGAGAGAGAGAGAGAGAGGATTCTCTATAGCGATGGCTACTGGCGATCGAGAGAGTGAGAGCGAGAGAGATAGGATCATACTCTCTCTAGAATCGCTATGATCATAGCTCTCTCTCGTATCTCTTATCTCTCTTCTCTCTATCTCTCTCTCTCTCTCTCTCTCTCTCTCTCTCCTCTTCTCTCTATCTCTCTCTCTCTGCTTGTTCTCATACGACAATTGTCTCTCTCTAACAACCCCCTCTTTCCTTGC